TCTCTTTCTTTATAAATACATACCAACAGTTAAGTGTGCTAAAACATGTGCGTGTGTCATGCGCTTGAATTCCTAGGCAGGGCTATGGCAGCGTACAATAGGCACATTTTCATTTGATGAAGGAATGCAGTCAAATGTTCTAAATTATACCCCACCAAAGGTGCGTCTTAATCACACCCAGCTTGAGTGCTTCAAATGAGCAGTCCTCACGACAGGATGTTTTTTCTTTGTGTCACCACTTCTCTGCTGCGCCTTTTATTCACCTGTTTATGCACACCTGACAAAACACATGCTTAACATTCAACACTCTTAGGGGGTGGAGCTGGACGCAAAACAAAAAACAGTTAAAGTACAAAAGAGCGAGAAAGAAAAAACAGATAAAATGTCATGGCAACAATAAATAAAATAAGGGAGAAGAAAAATAAAAATATCTACAATATACACAATTTAAATGCCAGAAAAAAGTGGTGGTGTGAGTCCAGTTTTATTACAGTTCGTTGTAAAGTCTTATTGCAGAAGGGAGGAATGACCTGCGGTAGTGCTCCGTCTTGCAAGGTGGGAGTCTAAGTCTGCTGCTGAAGGAGCTGCTTAAAAAGCCCCCACAGTCTGGTGCAGTGGGTGAGAGGGATTGTCCATGATGGATACAAGCTTTGCTAACATCCTCCTCTCACCCACCTCCTCCAGGGAGTCCAAAGAACAGTCCAGGACAGAACTGGCCCTCCTGACCAGTCTGTTCAGTCTCTTCCTGTCCCTCTCGGTGCTCCCTGCTCCCCAGCAGACCACCGCATAGAAAAATGCAGATGCTACCACACTTCTCTGCTTTTTCATTTCACGCCTTTATATCCAGGATACATCCAATTGAAGCTATCCCTTACTAAATCCTCCTGGTAGTTTGAGCTGGTCACTTTCTTACTTACTTGCACCACCTTAAGGTAAAAGAGCAGCCTTAAAAACTTGTTCGTTTCAGTGGTTGAAAGAGGTCAAAATTTTGATTTAACACACACTGGGGTTGCACAATTCTCAAATAATAATGTGACAACGGTTGTGAGTAGTTGGCTTGTGTCAAATCTGACCAAACTATGAACAGACTGAGTGTCGCTCTTTTTCTGAATATTGAAGGATTTCTCTTGAGTAGCATAATTTAATTTAATAAATCAGATTTTAGACCAGAAAGTAAAGATCAGCTGATCTTTGATGGTTTGTGAGGCTGAGGCTTCAGTTCTCTGAGTTCACACTGTGAGCTAGCAGAGTTATGTAAGGTAGCAGTGCTAGGTGATTGTTTTCCTTTCTCATACCTGCGATGATGTCAGATCATGTGACCTCTTCACAATCAGACAGTGTGAAAAAAAGCAGATTGGAGACTTTTGATGTGAATCTTTTAAGTAACGATCTGCCACCGCAAAGACAAACCAGAAAAGCATGAAAGATTTGGGCGTACACCGCAAGTGTTTCATGTAACAGTTTTTTTAATCATTTCTGCCAGGTTTATTTTTAGGTTTGCATTGCGCAAGAGTGCACAGCTAATTTGGGGATTATGGAGAATTATAGGCTGATCCAGGCTGCTAAATCCGTAACGATTTCTAGCTCAGCAAATTCAACCTACTAGTCTACAAGTGGCTCAGTGAAATCCTTACAGATTCTATTTAAGCAGGGGGAAAGTAAAGATTTCAGCGTAACTTTCAGAAGACTTCAGCTTTTAAACCCAAAACTAATGCCTCAGTGCAGAAAACTGCCGTTCCTCAACTGTCCACTTGAGGCTCTCTCCAAAAGTGAAAGAATTTCTGTGCCATCTCTGTTGTGATTTTGGTTTATTGGTTTTATTTAAGTGAGCCCCTGGACTGTGTCCTGTGTGGGGTTGTGTGTTTTTCCTCTTCACAGAGACTGGGCATATCCCCCTGCTCTGGTTTTCCCTGCACCTTTAACCACTGCAGCCACTAGCAGCTCTTAATTTCAGAGAGTCGCTGTGATGACGCTCGACTCAAACAGCGTATCCCCCGGGGTGAGCTACGCAATCTTCGCATGCCCATAGGCTGTATCAGATGTCAATCATAGAAAACATGAACCACTTTTAAAAATGGAGCTGCACAGAAAAAAGAGGACTTGAGCACAAACCAGTCTTACAGTAACTACATGTCAACATCACAAGCAGGGGAGAGAAAAATTTACATTCTGTGTCATAAATTTCTAAAGTTTGATTTATGACCTATACTGCAGCCCGTCAACAGAGGGTGCTGTTCTCAGAATGGCTTCACCCAGCGAGGAGGCAGACGGCGTCCATTCTATATACAGTCCATGGTCATGACTTGCGTAAAAGGCCATTGCACAAAAGGGAGAGACATGGAGATAATACTTCACAAACTTATTTACAAAAACATAAATAATGCTGTGGAAAAAATGAGATGTGAGTTTCTGTAGAGTCAGTGGTGTAAGTGAGCAGGTACAGGTGTTGGTGGAAAAAGAAGACAAAGAAATCAAACAAGTGCATGAAAAGAGTCCCCCCAAAAGAACCAAAGTGGCAGCTTTTACGATGACTGGCAGCAGAAGGCCCATGTGCTACCTATTGTGACCATACGTCTTCTTTTACCCGGACATGTTCTCTTTTTTCGGGGCTGTTCGGGCTTGTTTGGGGGACTTAATAAAATCCTTCAAATGTCCAAGGTTTTGAATGGAAGGTTTGACTTTGTGTCGTGTGGACTAACTGAGTTAGAAGTGCGTGAAAAACACTCGACCCGACCTAATTAACCATGCACAACTCTGTGACTCTGCCCCGCATAGTCGTGTCATCTTTTTGGGGATTCAGAATATGGTCACCCTCGTGCAACCAGTCCAACCCTTACCGAATTTCGGATTCCCTCTTCACACCTTGGACCCTGGATCCCTCCCCTTCACCTTTCCCCTAATCAATAAATTCACCCTTAATGCTTGATCTGCCTCTGGTTCTGCTTTTGATTAAAACATCTGAAGTTTCTTGAAAGACTTTCGCATGACTGTGGGTCGTAGATAGCTGTGCTTTTATGCTCTCGTCGTTACAAATTTCCAAAAGACATTCAGTTTCGTCTTCTTCCCAAACGACGTCGGGTCCAGGAATCGTAGCAGAAACTTGAGAGGTACATGCTGGGCTTCGTTTACCGCCATTATCACTGGCATTACCACGACCACGACTACGACCTGCTGCCATACTTCGGATTCGATGTTCTTTCTTTTCTCTACCGCTCTGAGTTTTTGCGGCTGCAGTCACATGACTAATCTGGGGCTTATGATGCGGTGCAAAGAGGCGAAGTGAACCCGGATCACTTTGTGTTCACAATGCGCAGATTAGGCAAACAGCACCTCTTTTTTAAAGGGGTCTGAGTACAGTTGGAGTGTTCCCATATAGACAAAAAATGCAGAGTAATTAATCAGCGTTCGTTTAGAGGGTTGAAAGGGATCAAGTGGGAAAACATCCGTAAAAAGACTGTTATCAAACTCTTAACAGTCTCGTGTTAAACACCCAATTTCACAGCCTGGATCAACAATTGTTGCGCTCTGGGTAGCTCATTACTTTATCAGTATTGTTTCTTTGTTTATTTTTTCATCTATTTCACTGAAGACATTGTTCTACAAAATCTCAATTATTTACAATATTCAAGACAACTTCTTGCAGGTAGCAGAGTGATGAGGTGCATTAGTTTGTAGCTGCATAGACCTTTGAACTGTGACTTAACAAAAACAAGACTTTATATCCGGATTTTTTTATAAATAAGTGAGCTTAGGTGATAAACAGACCTGTCACTGATAACTCCATTTTATTTTGTACTCCATGAAAAGTTTTCAGTCAGAGTGACACTATTTAGACTAAGTTAAAACTCCGCCAAGCAACAACTTTCTGCATCAAGACGAACGTACCCATCTTTGATTTTGGACAAAACAAAATTAAAGATTTTAAACACCAGCACTGATTTTTTCAGAAGTTTGGATAAACTACATTTGAAGAGTATTCTGTTTGGAGATGTTGCGGCAGTAAGCAACTCATAACCAGCTAAGTGACCTTTTTTTTTAAGATTGACGTAATCTAAAGAATCATTATGAGATGTAAGTATAGATAATTACTATGTTCTCTGCATCTTCCCATGAACATTAAAGTTAATGTATTAAAGTTTATGAATCCTAGACAAAGCTGACCTTGCCCTAGATGTTACAAAAGTGTTCTGCAATTAAACAATTATGATTAGGGCAGTGACCCAATTGTCCCAATTAACCTCGCCCTTTTGGTTTCAGCTGTGTCCCACACCCCGTTGGACCCCTTTAAAACCACAGCCAAACACAAATCATCAACCAGTCTTACAGAAGAAAAGTTCACACGTCTTTTACCATCATCTTTGTAAGTATTCGTTTCACTCATTCATTTTGTTTGTATATCTTTAAAATTCCAGTATTCTAGTGTTTGTACATGCTCTTTTGGTCACTTAACCTTTTTTAGCAGAAATGTGGTCTGGTAAAAGTGAGCTGTAAATATTGGCATTTGCTTGGTTTCTCGTTTGCTTTCTGATTTCAAAGACATCCCTTTTCATAAGGATGATACTTGCTAATACTCATTGAGAGGAGCAAGTTTTTCATATCAAATGTATCTGTGATTACTTTGATGGCACTAAATCTTACTTTAAGCATATTTACCACAAATGTTGGGGGACTTCAAGTACTGGAGCACTGTGATGTGATGAGTTTGTGCAACAGTTGAGTTATTGTTTGGAAAATACTCTGGAGACATTCTGTTGCCGTTTTCTGACATTGAAGCCTTTGAAACCCTTGCTCTGTTGGTTGCAAACTCTGTAAAAGTGGGTTCATGCGATGGCATGAATTCAAGTTATGCAGTTTAGGAATTTAAGGTGTGGTTTGATGTTTACAGTTAGGTAACAGCACCTGGAATGGCACAGTTTTGATCCAAATAAGGATGATTTTTATATTTTTTTCAATGCATATAAATCACATCTTTTTATTCTGTTTATCCCAAAAGTTACACCATGTGGAAGCTGATTGTAACTGCAGGTAGGCCCAGCAACAAAGAAGTTTTAGCTCCAAAGAGTTAGTCCAACAAAACACATTCTTGACTTGTCTAACTGTCTTATCTTTCCTTTTGTAGGTCTCTGTTTGACCCTCGGCAGTTTGGGTAGGTTCCCCACACTATTCATGATAATAAACCTGGGTCAAAATGTATGATATAAAATAAAGATGTCAGTAAAACGTGATTTCTGTCTTTGACATAGCTTCTTCCAGGCTGGTGTGTTACTACGACAGCACGGCTGAAACAAGAGAGGGGCCTTCCAGGTTTATGGTTACAGATATTGACCCAAATAAATGTACCCACTTGATGTTTGCCTTCTGCAACATAAACAACCAAAATGAGCTGGCTCCCTTCACAGTAGATGACATCCAACGTTATCAAGCCTTTAATGGGCTCAAAAACAGGTCAGTTCTGTACATACAGATATTTTTAGACTGTTAAATTTCATGTTGTTTTGATTTTAATGATTTTATGCTCTTACAGGAATCCACTTCTTAAAACTCTGTTGGCAGTCGGTGGCTTGACATCAGACACTCAAAGGTAAGTTACCTCCAAGTTACGTCTATTTCTGCGCTCCTGTATAATGCATCAGACTACAGCAGAAATCATCAAGCACCGTGCTGAAAACCGAACCAAATGCAACCAAGAAAATGACGTATATTTTCCCCTCTTTTTTTCTGGGCAACATAAAGTAATACTGAAAATGCATCTCAGCAACTGCTGAATGTTTTACTTTTAGGTAATCATACACCAATTTTATTTTATTTATAGTGTGTCTCTGGTCAAACATTTACAGATTCAGTACAGTGGTGGCATCACAACAAAACAGAGCAATATTCATCCAGTCTGCAATCACATTTTTGAGAACATTCGGGTTTGATGGACTCAATCTTGACTGGAGGCACCCCAATGGAGCTGGAAGCCAACCACAGGACAGGCATGGATTTACTCTGCTAATCCAGGTCAGAGGTCCTTACATTGTCCTTGACATCGAGCCAAGCATTTTTAGAAATACCATTCTGCTCATGCCATGTTGGATCATCTAACAGGGATTGTTCCTGTGTTTTACAGGAGCTCAAAAACGCCTTTGAGGCCGAAGGAATAGCAAGTGGACGGAACAGTTTAATCATCACAGCAACTGTCTCTGCTGAGAGAGCAGTCATTGATGCCAACTATGAAGTGGAACAGATAGCAGCGTAAAATACTTTATAATGTGCACATCATACTCCTGATCAGCTTTTATCTATTTTTAGTAAGATTTATTTTGGTTGAATTTTATCAGGTACCTGGATTTTATCAATGTACTCACATTTGACCTTCACCGCTCCTGGGAAGGTGTCACGAGACACCACAGTCCCTTGTACCAAGGATCCCAAGACACTGGAGACAGCATCTACTCTAATGTTGTAAGCACAGAAACATATATCATAACCATGGAAACGAATCTAGCATGGTTTAAACAAAATGGTATTTGAAAATGTTTCTCTCCATGTCAGCACTCTGCAATGCAGTACTGGCATGAAATGGGAGCACCTCCACAAAAGCTTAACCTGGGGTTTGGAGCATATGGAAATGTTTACAACCTTGCCTCTACATCCAATCATGTTGGAGCACCTGTAATTGGTCTTGGTGATAGAGGCTGTAACACCTGTGCAGACGGGATGTGGGCCCATTACCAGGTAAACCTTAAAGCTGTGATTCTTGTTATTTTAATCAAACCATTTTGACTGTATGTGGTGTGGTAAAATTCAGTTTATTCAATCCATTTGTGACTTTTGAACCTTGTCTGTAGACTTGTCAGTACCTGAAAGAGGTTACAGCCACAATGATTCCTGACCAGCAAGTTCCATACGCCACCAAAGATTACCAGTGGGTTGGGTTTGACAACAGAGTAAGCCAAGACACAAAGGTAGGTATTTTGGGGGGTTTCATTTACGATAGACGACAAGATAATCCCAAGAAGCTGGTTTAATAAGGTGTTTCTGACCCTCAGATCAGCTATCTTCAAACAAATGAGTATGGTGGAGCCTTTGTCTGGTCTCTTGACCTGGATGACTTCAGTGGACAGTTCTGCAATGAGGGTAAATTCCCTTTCATCAGCCACTTGCATTCTCGTCTGGTGCAAGGTAAGTAAATGGACAAATATACTTTGTTATAAAGTGGTGGTTTTAAACTCAATGAATTAAGTCAACACAATATCTAATTCTTGTTCTTTCAGATACATCTGGTCTTCAAATGCTGCCTGCAGCTCCTGCAGCCTACCCAAATACTCCTTTAGGACCTAACTTCTGTGCTGGAAAAATTGATGGGCACTATGCACACCCCACTCTTGCATGTTGTTTTTACAGCTGCTTCAAACAGTCATCCACCTTTGGCATGTGCCAGGCAGGGTTGATTTTCAAAGAAAATTTTCAGGTCTGTGTTAGGAATGACACAAATCTTTCAACTCTGAATTCTGCTGCTACATTAAGACCAACCCACTGTCAGGAAAATAACACAGCTTTGACAAATGCGGCAGTCCCTGGAAGCACAACAACAGCCCCTACCCCTACCCCTACCCCAACCACAATTGCTACAACCACAACAACAGCCCCTACCCCTGCCCCAACCACAACAACAGCCCCTACCCCAACCACAATTGCTACAACCACAACAAGAGCCCCTACCCCTGCCCCAACCACAACAACAGCCCCTACCCCTACCACAACCACAACCACAATTGCTACAACCACAACTACAGCCCCTACCCCTACCACAACCACGATTGCTACAACCACAACAACAGCCCCTACCCCTGCCCAAACCCCAACCACAACCACGATTGCTTCAACCACAGCAACAGCCCCTACCCCGACCCCTGCCCCAACCCCAACCACAATTGCTTCAACCACCCCAACATTTGCTGGGGACCCTAACTTTTGCTTGGGAAAAAAAGATGGGAACTATGCTCACCCCACCCACCCAAGCTGTTACTACACCTGTGTAAATCAGTCACCCATCCTTAAAATGTGCCTGGCCGGTCTGATTTACATAGAAAAATTGGATAGATGTGAGTGGAACAACACAAATGTAACTTTACTACAGAACACTGCTACATTCACCACACTCAACTTATCTCCTTCAACTGCCGTGACATCCAAAGAAGCAACGTCTGCTCCTCAATATATACCTGATTCCAATTTCTGTATTGGAAAACCTGATGGGATATATGCCGACCCAAATAATGCAAAAGGTTATTACAGCTGTGTCGGTCAAATTACGTACTATCAACCCTGCCCGTCACTTTTAGTTTTTATAGAGCTGATAAACCGCTGTGACCACCCCTCTGTTAATGTGACTGCCATACTAGCCCGCCATGCAAGTACAACACCAACAAATGCAACCGCAAACATGCCAGCAACTCAGGGGAACTTTGGGGACCCCTGTCAGGGAAAAACTGGGCGTGTGCCTGACCCTCATAACCCACAATATTTTTTCAATTGTGACGGGAATGGAGTTTATCATCAAGCCTGCCAACAAGGGACAATCTTCAAAACCTCTTGCTTTTGCTGTGATCATCTCTGAAAAGATGCACATGACTCAGGTCACAGTCAAGAAGGTAGTTAATCGGTAGTTTTCGCAAACATAATGTCAAAAGAGTGAGACAAGAAACAGAAGGGGTCTTGTGTTCCTTGAAGGGTGGATAGGAGGCATTATTGAAGCTGTAAAATATTGTAATTTTTCTGATTCTTTGATTTTGAGTCATGAAAGAGTAGGCTTTTGTTCCTTGTTTTCGACTTGACCAATCTACTCTGAGGTGGAGGGATCTGAAATCTAAGATGTTAAAATGTCTGTCAATAAGGTATAGCATATATATATTACTTTGTTAATTAATATACTGCTCATTTACACCCACTGTTAATTTCTGTTGCAATCTGTTGGATGTTTTTTAGCTTTCAACATTACAGCAAAAATGCCTTACTTAATTGTTGATTAAAATATACAGTTTATCTGTTAATGATGGTGTATGGGAATCTTCTGTGTGGACTCCCTCCTGATAGATTTGTTTTGAGTCATTGCCTGATTTGATTGATTTTTAATAATGCAGCAGAATTATGAATCCTGTATTTCTGTTGTATATTTTATCCAAACTTTTTCAATGTATTAATTATAACAAATAAATAAATAATTGAAGAATAACAAATATTTCAAAGTTTGTCATTGTGTGTTTGTGATGTTAAAGAATGGATATTGGGATATTAGTTATTCTTGACTGTTGAAGTGCGCCTACTGTCCTTACTGCAGCCATTGCTGGTTCAGCTTCTGCATATCATCTTCCACTCTACTCCCACACTCTAAGTCTCTATACTCATGCACACACATACGGGGTTGCACTCTTGGAAAATCTTTTAAAAAGCATGCACTGTGTTGTCCGTAATAATTGCAAGTTGCCACAACTTGATATTATGATTTTTTTTTTAAATGGTTTCTATGAGCTTCTGTCAAGTTTTCAAGACCATGGGGTGTGGAAATGATTGGCAGCCCCTGCTGAATGAATATGTGTGTGAATGACCCCTGTACATCACACTATTGCCATGTGCCTACCTTGAGGTAACTTTGGATTTGATTTGTCAGAAGATAGAGCAGCAGCACACTGAATAAGTAGCTACAAATTTTACAAAAAAATAAAAAAATAAATAAAACTATTATGATGTGAAAACTGCTTTTTTTCTTTTGGCTCACATGAGGTACCATTGTTCTAGACTTAAACCCGGATCACTCTATACACTAGACACTAGACATTACACTACAAAACAGGTTTACCTGACCTGACCTATGACGGTTCTTACTACCTCTACTTTTTGACTGTGGAAGTTAGACCAAGTAATTCAAGACACAGCTTAAACTACATGTGTAGAGAGCAGGTGTTCCAAGCTGACTTAAAGTGCATCTGTACAAGATTTGAACCCAAGACCCTTTTGTTTTTTAGGCAATAGCCTTCACCACTACCCTTATTAAAACTGAAAAAGTCAAAGACATTCATTCAAGACGACCATGGCTCTTCAAATGCGTGTGTACCTTACAGCAGAAATAACATGTTCTGAAATCTAGACTAAGGTGAGGGTCAAGGAGAGACCAACACTGCTCTCTATGCTACTTACTAAAATTCTATATGTTGTTCAGATAAGTACATCCCCATTTAAAATAAGGTGTACCATCCTCCTCCTTTATGAATAACTTATAATTTGGGGTGGAGCCAGGGTGTGGCGATCTCCTCCCCCCACACGTGTCTATCCAGTGTGTTGTGACAGGCTATCAGTCATTGCTGTTGCGTTTTTTTGTTGTTGTACATTTTAAAGTTATAAATATAAACAGGAATGTAAAATCTGATACCAGGTTTGAAACTCAAATACAACTTAAAATGTTTATATACAGAAAGAAGGGCTTAAAAAATGTGATTCATTCATGTCTGTTTGTGTACGTCATGCCACTCCCGTGAAAGTCAGTGTCTCGGTTTGGTATGCCTTTATTCATGTTTTGAAGCCCATGTAAATTTAGGGGAATTACAAGAATGGGATATATCACATTCAAACTTGTAACTAAAAATGAACTCAATGGGGGCCAGTTTCATCTAGTAGGTACGGCAGAGGTCCCATCCACACAAGTTTTAACTCCCAGCCATAACTCTTTGATGCATGTCCACCCAGAGAGACACTTTCTGTTTCTCCTGTCCCTCAAGAAAAAATTCCCCAAAACAAATTTACGGATACAAACCAAAATAAAAAACAAGTGTATGATTAAAGAAGTAGACCGATCAGACAGGTTGGCACATGTTCTGATGTGGCTTTATATAGTCTCTTGGATAGCTTCTTAGCTGTTTTACATGATTTACAGTCAGACAAGTTCTTAACATATTTCAGGTTGCTGTCTTTGAAAACCTTTATTTCAGCATTTGTTTGAGACGCTTTATTTAAGATGCGGTCTCTTTAAGACCCCCAGTATTTCAAAACGCCACATTCTAGGAGCCGCCTACATTGTTGCCATGAAGGAAAGATGAATTTCTCTTTATAAATTGACAAATTTGCTCATTTTATGGGATTAACTGCCTGGTGATGACACAATTTCAAGCAAATCCCATACTGAGCTCGTTAAATTCTCGTGTGACTTTTTAAACAAGCCTCCTGTAGTCCCATTTGGGGATTACTTTAACACGCATTAACCTTGTAATCTGAAACTTTCCCATGTATACCACTGATGTCTAAATCTTATTTGGCATTTGTCCTCTTTAATTTACCTGCTTAGATTTTATTGAAAATTAGACTTTATTGGTTAGCTAGCTGGCTGGATAGATAGATAGACTAGTACTTCTACTGTTGGATGGGTGAAATCCTGAAATAATTTGGTCGACTTTCTGAAAAATCCCAGCAGAGACGGGTTGTATATTTGACTATACCTAAAAACAAGCTATTCATTCAGTTTAAAAAAAAAAAAAAAAAGGAGGGCCAAAATAGGCTAAACCGAGAACCTGGCCGTACCCGAGAAAGACCTGCTGAGACATGGATGCCCCCTAAAAAATACTCAAACATTAACCTTTAAATATTCTGTTTTATTGAAGCAGTATGAAAATATTGCAAGGGTTCATTTAAAAAGCAAGTGCTTTTTGTCCAACCTATGTTTTTCAATGTATCTCACCATTCAAAGTGGTAGCAACAACACTTTGGTAGGCAGGTGTTTCTAGCTTAAATGGGTGTGTGCTATCAAATTAACTCATTCATAACAATAGCTTTGGACAAGCCCTGTAATAATGCTGTTATTTAACATCCTCCCATCAAGAATGTTTCTCCTCGTCATTAAAACCAACTATTAATAGTAATCTGTACTCATTGTCTTGTCTCGATTACTGTGTAATTAGATGTGCCCAACATGATGACGCTGTTTTGCTGTTCCTTTGTTATGCTAGCCCTCTGATGCACGCAGTGTACCACTGTTCATCTTATTATGTATAATTTGATGTACCTTACATTACATCATGACCTTAGTTTAAAGATTTTTGGATTTCAGGGATTCTATGAGAAACTGGCAAAAACCAACAGATTGAAAAGAGGGCTTTTCGTTAACTATGTAACGTACATAAAACTGCTGTTTTTGTTGTATGCTAAGATGTGTTGGTGTGTCCTTTAAATGCTCTTAAAGCACCAGCGTTAAATCTACAGTAAGATTAGATTGAAGTCTCAAAAATGACTGCGTAAGACAGGAATATAGCACTGTGGGATAACTTTTAACAAGGACCATAATGATTTTATCAAACCAGAAATCAAAAGCTGCCTTTTTTACCTGGTTCATCTCTTCATCACGGGTTCATATTATTGAGTGAGGCAATATCTGTTCTATATCTTGGCGACAAAGCAACAACTTACAACAAATGCTTAAAAGGGTAACAGGTTATATTTTTAAAAATCGATGAGTCTTTTATTTGCTGTATTTGTGTTTGACTGTGTAATATTTTAAGTGTTTTCTGACAAATCCTCAACTATGTACTAATATAGATAGAGGAAAAAATGTTATTATGGCAAGACCCCCCAAAAAGTGTTATTGTATATAAAGGCAGGGTTCTGGTGGTTCACTTTTTCATAAACTAGCTATAGAACAGTGGTAACGAACAAGCAGTGCAGTCACTCAGATATAAAAAAAAAACTGATACATTACAACGTGAAATACATCAGTATTAACAAAAATGTAAGGTCACGCAGGAGTCTGATTGAGTTTTAACAATATACAAACACTGAGAACTTTGGGGTTCATAAGAGAAAAAGCACATTACCGAGGTACATTCAAAGTGATACCTGAAACCTAAAGGGCAGGGCATGAGTTGGCCTCACCTGTGCTTCCAGCAGTGATGAAATAATTAGACAATTATGCTGTAGATAATGTAAAATTGCATTAATTATCACCGCCCTCCTCTTTTTTTTTGCCACACCTTGTGAGCTCTCAACTTGTATTAAAGCTCCGGCACCTGTCCTCCATCACTCATTCAACACTCAACCACCAGCCACTCAACTGAGGACTCTTTCGACATCACCCTTGTGAGTACTCACTTTATTTTACAAAATATTCCTTAGCTACTAAGCTGCTTTTTGGGGTCATCGGATCAAGTGCTTCTTTTTTTGTATCATACATCTTGGCTTCACTGCTTACATGTGAGGTGAAGGAAGTTAAACTTAAAGTCATTTGACTGGCTGTGTCTTTTATGATATTGTTTTTTACTGATGAAAACAAACCCGGCGCGTTAATTGTCGATCAAATTCAGCATATCTTGTGGGACACACAATGTGTCTGAGGTATATTCAGTTGTGTTGCTGCATGCCGAAGGTAATTCAGTGATCAAGATCTATGAATCTGTAAGTTTTCTTTGACACACCTGGAACCTGCCTCTGATCTTTGGGATTAAATGATGTAAAAAGAGAGATCTTATACCAAAGCAATCGCTTGGCTAAATGCACAGAGTTGGGTTCTGAAATGTGGAAATGTTGCCAAACTGGTTCTCCTCCCTCATCATCTGGTTCAAACCCAGTCATGAATCTGTTGATCATGTTTTATTGTGGGTGGTTACTAAGCACAATAGCTTCAATAGCTACCCTTTCCCACTCCCTTCCTACCTAGTAATTAGTTACATAATTTTCTAAAACCTGTTCATGTAATTATTGTTAAGGTAAATGAATGTACCTTTTGTTATTATATAAATCCTTACTCACTCAGAGTGAAAATGCAGTAAATGTTACAAATGTATGCTGTAATTTGATAGGCACAACACCTTTTATGGAAATGTATTTCTCACAATGAATCATTCTTTTTTTGTAAAATTCCATAATTATCTACGTCTCTTCAGCTGCTATTAAAATCCTCTATTTCTGTATTTCTTTACAGTACCAACATGTGGAGGCTTACCGTAACCATAGGTAAGGCAAATTGTTCAAATTTATTTCTCACTACATTAAAATCTCTCCCCCTCTTAAAAGAAAGATATATGTGCTTGAAGTGTTTTTATAACCTCATACTAACAAGCTTTTCTCTCTAAAGGTCTTTGTTTGACCTTTGCCAGCTTGGGTAAGTTCATTGCACGCATCAAACATCATCACAACCCTGCTTTCACACATACAAGCCCATTGAGCAAACTGCTACTTTAAAAAAATGCTTATAATAATAATTTCCTTCAATGTTTTAGCTTCTACAGAAAGGCTGGTGTGCTACTACAACAGCATGGCCCAAGAAAGACCGGCACAAGCAAAGCTCAGTGCGTCAGGCATTGATCCAAATTTGTGCACCCATCTGACTTATGGCTTTGCCGACATCAAGGAAAATGAGATCGTTCCCGCCAGTGTTGCTGATGTTCAACAGTATATCGACTTCAATGCACTTAAGGAAATGTTAGTACTTCAGCCTATAAATACTGTGGAAACCATAAGGTGGTTGATGTGTTTCAAAAACAATACACAACAGAAAATAATAATAGTCATAAATTTCTGCGCCCTCACAGAAATCCATCTCTGAAAACCTTGTTGGCTGTTGGTGGCCCAACTTTTGACACACAAAAGTAAGTTTTATCTTTTTTAATGTCTGCAAAATGTTTGTTCACACCATAATAGGGCCATTGCACCCACACCCACAATGAAAATGTGCTCAGAAGTGACCTTGTACCTCCAGTGCCTTATTGTTTTTTGTTATGTCTTATTTCCCAGGTTCAGAGACATGGTGCAAACAAAAGGAAACAGAGCAAACTTCATCGACTCTACAATCAAATTGCAGAGAAGAATGGGATTTGATGGGCTTACCCTTGACTGGAGGTACCCCGGTGGATCTCGAAGCGAGCAACAGAGCAGGCGCAAATTCACAGAGCTGTGCGAGGTTAGATGCATTTTCAGAAGCATGCCATACTCTAACTGCTGTGTGAATATATTAAAATCCATATCTGATGGAGACATAACCCCACTTCTGTGTTGTACAGGAGCTCAGCGACGCATATAAGGCTGAAGCAACAGCAACTAACCAGGACAGACTCCTGCTCACAGCATCTGTCTCAGCTGAGAAAGATACCATTGATGAAAGCTATGAAGTGGACGAGATTGCCAAGTAAAATTCTTTTTGAGTAATCACTGCCTGCCAACAATATATAAGTGTTATTTGTCAGTGAAGGTGATGTCCTCTGCTTGTTATTAGGTACCTGGATTTTATTAATGTGCTGACGTTTGACTTCCACGGCCCCTGGGAAGAAAATATCGGACATCACAGCCCCTTGTTCAAAGGATCAGAAGACACTGGATTCGACATCTACTCAAACACTGTAAGCACAGTGGTCTTTATTTCCACATAGTTATTATGTGGTCCATGAGGTTCTTGACTCCTATTAATTTTGATTTTTCACTTTTTAGGACTCTGCCTTGAAGTACTGGCAGGAGGAGGGAGCACCTGCAGAGAAGCTGAACTTGGGGGTGGCAGCCTATGGGCGAGCTTTTTCTCTCTCATCTAACGCCGCTAATGTTGGAGCACCAGCTAGCGGTCCTGGTGATCAAGGCTGCTACACCGGTGAAGAAGGACTTTGGTCCGTTTATGAGGTATGACTGCAAGCTGTGGATTCCCTTTTCTGTCATGAGCTTAAAAAAAGCCAACAGTTGTATTTGGTTGTATTTTTAATTATTGCTGATTTTTTTTACATTAAATCTAACCCTTCTTTTCAGAGATGCCTTTATCTTGAAGACGTATCGACATCTCGTATTGATGATCAGAAAGTTCCTTATGCCGTAGTAGAAAATCAGTGGGTTGGATTTGATGATGACACCAGCCTTAAAGAAAAGGTAACTATCTTATAATTCAAGGTGTTGCTTTGTGATATTTGGCAGGTTGTACATAAGTCAGGCTTCAGTCATTTTTTTAAACTAGCTATTGAATTTTTTTCTTCATCTTACCCTCTCAGGTCAGTTACCTCAAGAGTAACAACTTAGGAGGGGCCGTGGTCTGGTCTCTAGACCTGGACGACTTTACTGGAGAGTTCTGTAACGAGGGTAAGAGCCCCTTCATCAGCGAACTGCAAAATCTGATAGCGTCACAATCAACAACAACAACCACAACTAAACCTACAACAACCACAACTGAAGCTACGACAACCACAACTGTCTGGATTCCATTTGATCCCTGTTTGGGTTTGGGCGAAATAGATGGGGCTCAACCTGACCCCGATAGCCCGCATCATTTTTACCTCTGTGATAACGGAGTAGGTACAAGAATGCCATGCTTTTTTGGTTTGGTCTTCGATATCCGTTGCAGCTGCTGTAATTTCAACTTCTTTGCATGAGAGTAATCCCTGGTGTGTGTACTGCTTCTTTTTACCCACATAATTAAAGGCTTCCATTTGAAATTTCTGATTTTCATAGCTTAGCTGCATGCGAGAGGAAGAAGCCTTAAAGTGGGTATCTTTGCTTCTTAAAGCTTCAGTTGTCCTAAAGCAAGATGGTTTACAAGCTGAGTAATGTCATGATTGTTTACTTTGAGAGCGGCCATTTCCTTCCAACTCTGTCAGTTAATGAACAACATTATTTATACTATTTAAGTCATAATAACATGATTAAAACCTATGTGTATCTTATTGATTTAGCTTTGTATGTTCTTGCTGTCTTTACTGCAGTTATGGTGATAAGCCTGCCCTAATTACATTTTTATTTTTCATCTGTTTGTCATTGTTGGTGTTTTAAAATCTGGCTTATTGGTGTGTGCTCAATGATTTGTGGCAGCATCAAATGATTGTATCTGTATTTTGCAATTTGCAACACAACAACACATATTTATTATATATACTTAAAAGTTCATGTTTCTATCTGTCTGTCAATAACAATAATATAACAATAAACTCATCATAATAAAATTTTGCATCTGAATTTTTTCTTATTCTCCCTGTTGTTATTTGACTATGTGAAGCAATATTGTTTACCTCTCTTGTCTTATCTACAGTATCAGTATCTGATCTAAGAGTCTACCTAGTGGGAACATTATTCCAAGCATTCATAAACACCATCTTGGTTGAAGATGACCATCATTCAGCTTAAATACATGATTTAATAGAGTAACTACATAAGCTTTATTTCTAGAACACCTCACAGTTTCTTGAACTAAAAATATTGAATATAATCGCTCTACTTTTTTTCATGTGGAGGGCAATTTTTCCAAATTTTGACAAATAGTAAATATGCAAAATATCTTACTCTGCAGTATATGTCACTGTGTTCCTGTGGCTTATTCCACACTTGCAGAAATATTTAGGCCTCACTGCATACATAATTTCCAACCATTTGGATCACTTGGATTTAACATAAACAGGCCATAAGCTTCATGTGCTGCATATTTGTCAGTCAAATGTAAATGAAACAATTAAGTGATAGATTTATGTAATAATACACCCAATGTGTTTAGAAAAACTAATGAAGATTTATGTATTCGTCATTGATAACTTCAATTTTTTTCTGTCTCATGAATTTTAACTAAATGAATCCTGGTTGAACCACAGTTTGTCATATTTAAACTATATTCATACATTTTAAGTGATTAAGTTCAATCCTTATGTTAACTGTGTTTTATTCTTTAGATCAGTTTTTAGTGTTTCCTGTTTTATTTTGTAGTAGTCGATTCCTTGTGTTTCTAGTCTGGTTTTACTTTCCTAGTTTTCCCTCCCTCGTTAATCACCAACGAGTTTCACCTGTGTCTCGTGTGCCTCACCTGTTGCTCGTTAACCAGTGTGTGTATATAGTCTCCGTCTTCCCCTCTGTTCTTGTTGGTTCACTGTGTGTTTGTCAGTGTGTGCATATGCCTGTGTCCCCAGTTGCTCCCTGTGATTTTTTGTGGATTTTGCCTTGTGGATTTTTCTCTTTTCTTGCTTTTTTTCATTTACTTCTTTTAATTAAATCCTTTTCTGTTCTGCATTTTAGGTCCTTTCCCTTTTTATTTAACTTGGGACTGTAACAGAATTAACCGTATTAATAACTACCTCGTCATTATTTATACAATCAAACTAATATTACAATTTTTGGAAGAAGACTATTGCCTTGCTTTCAAATTGTATGCATCAACAAAACCAATGTGACGTCACATTATGAATACAGGACAATATTGTGGATTATATTCATAATCATTGACTACGAATGGGAAACATAAAGACAAACCACAGTGAAAAGATGAAAAGAAAAGCTCTCATTTTCTTACCAAACACAGAAACTCAATCTGCCTCGACACTGAAAAATCTGTTCACCGTGAGCGCCATCTTGTGTTGAAACTGATAAAAGGATCAGAAGACACTGGATTCGACATCTACTCAAACACTGTAGGCACAGTGGTCTTTATTTCCACATAGTTATTATGTGGTCCAAGAGGTTCTTGACTCCTATTAATTTTGATTTTTCACTTTTTAGGACTCTGCCTTGAAGTACTGGCAGGAGCAGGGAGCACCCGCAGAGAAGCTGAACATGGGGCTGGCAGCCTATTGGCGAGCTTTTTCTCTCTCATCTAACTCCACTGATGTTGGAGCACCAGCTAGCGGTCCTGGTGAGGAAGGCTGCTACACCGGTGAAGAAGGACTTTGGGCCTTCTATGAGGTATGATTTGCAGTTTATATTGTGATCATCATTATCTGCACACACTTTCCATGTATTTGTTGTATTGTAAATCCGTCTACCTTAATTCAATCTAAATAAGAAATCTTGACTTTCTTTTTAGAGCTGCCTTTATCTTGAGGAGGGTACAGTATAGCGCATTCCTGATCAGAAAGTTCCTTATGGCGTAGCAGAAGACCAGTGGGTTGGATTTGATGACGAAACCAGCCTGATTGAAAAGGTAATCATCATCTCTATCCAAAGTTAATCAGTGGCTAATTTGACAATTTCAGGTTGCACAAAAGTTTTTTTTTTTTTTTTTTACCAAATTTTGAGGTTTTCGTATGTCTCATCCTCCTAGGTTAATCCACAACATCCACAACTCTTCCCCTTACCAAAACAACAATTCCCTCTACAACAATCAGAATCACAGTTCCCCAGGCTACAATTGTGCCAACAACAACTACATCAAAAACTCCAACAACCACAGCTGTCAGAACTAAGATCACAACTTCACCAACTAAAACCCCATCTCAACCAAATACAACCGCAACTCCACCTATGACAACCATAGCTCCACTGACTACAGCCCTACCTACTACAACTACAACCATAAAACCTGCAACAACATCTCTTCCTACCACAACTACACCACCACCAACTACCACCATAACTCCACCTACCACAGTCCTGCCTGCTACAACTACAACTGCAAAACCTACCACAAAAAAGCCACCTACAACAACTACAACCACAACTCCACCTACTACAACCACAATTTCACCTACAACAACTAAAAAAAAACACTCCTACTACATCAACAACCACAACTACACCCACACTTACAACAACAAAACCTACCACAGCAACTACAACCACATCTCGACCTACTACCACTTAACTTAGTACAACTAAAACCATGTCTAAACTAAGGCAACAACTGCACAAACTACAACTACATCTCCACCAACTACAACCGTAACTCCAACTACCACAACACGGCCCTCTACCATCACAAAACCTACAACCATAACTACAACTACAACTCTGACCACAAGTCCACCTACATCATCTACAACCACAATGCAACCTAGAACTACAACTACAGCTCCACCTACAACTTCAACCAGAACTACTTCTACTATTACCACATCTAGAATCACAGGTTCTCCTACTACAACCACAACTCTACCTACAACAACTACAACCACAACTACAACCACAACTCCATCTCAACTAAGAACCACAACTCTGCCTACCACATCCACAATCAAAACTCCAAGTCCACCGACTACAACTACAACTAAAACCACAACTTCACCTACTACAACTACAACCACAATTCCAACTTCACCTACTACAACTACAACCACAATTCCATCTTCACCTTCTACAACCACAACTCCAGCTCCACCTACTACAACCACAACTCCATCTCCACCTACTACAACCACAACTACAACTTTACCTACAACTAAAACTACAACCACAAAACCTGCCCCAACTCCATCTACTTCACCTTCAACTACAACCACAACTCCACCTCAACCAAGAACCACAACTCTTCCTACTACAACCACAATCAAAACTCCAAGTCCACCGACTACAACTACAACTTAAACCACAACTTTACCTCCAGCTTTACAACTCTATCTCAACCTACTACAACCACAACTCAAGCTCCACCTACTACAACCACAACTCCAGCTCCAACTACTACAACCACAACTCCATCTCCACATACTACAACCACAACTCAAGCTCCACCTACTACAACCACAACTACTTCTCCACCTATAACAACCACAACTTCTCCTACCACTTTAACCACAACTTCACCTACTACAACCACAGCTAACGCTGCAACTACACCTTCTACAACAATCTCACCTTCAACAACCATAACTACAACCACAACTCTATCTTTCACAACTACAACCTCAAAATCTTCCACAACTCCACCTACAACAACCACAACTTCACCTACTACAACCTCAACTTCAACCAAAACTCTACCTACTACAACCACAACTACAACCAAAACTCCAAGTCCATAGACTACAGCTACAACTAAAACTACAGCTCCATCTATTACAACTACAACCACAACTCTCCCTGCAACTTCAGCTACAACTACAAAACCTACCACAACCCCGCCTACCACACCCACAACTACACCTACAACCACATCTCTACCTACAACTACAACCACAAAAACTACCACAAATCCACGTACAACACCTACAATCACAACTTCACCTACAACCACAACCTCACCTACCAAATCTACAACTCCACTCACTACAACCACAACACCACCTACTACAGCAACTACCATCACTACTACACTATCATTTGGAGACATATGTCCTGATTCCTGTGGGGTTTTCCCTGACCCCACCAGTAACACCCATTATTACAATTTTGATCATGGTGTTGGACATCGCCAAGAATGCTATCCTGGTTTTGTCTTCAAAGAAACTTGCAAATGCTGTGATCATCCCTGAATACAATTATGACACGAATCCATGGAAGTTGCAATGCTTATTCTTATCAACAGAGGGGTTGAATATTGAAAGGGCTAAGTGTGAATGGATTCTGATCTCCACAGCAAAGCTGCATGATAGAATATGAGTTTAAAAGTATATTTCCTTCACAAGCTTCAGTCATTTCATAACATGAGGGTATATATGTTGTGTTATGTCATGATTGTTAACTTTTAGATTGGTACTTTCCTTCCAACTTTGTCGATTAATGAAAAATATTATATTATTTCAGTCGGCAATGTAGTGCATGGTGAGAAACTGTATTTAAATAGTTAATTTGGGTGTGAATGTTCTCACTGTCTTCTCTATAGTTGTATTGATGACAAGCCCTTCGTAATTGCACTTCTTTTCATCTGTTTCTCATTACTGCATAAAAGCTCATAGGTGTGCCCTCTGGGAGTTTTCGCCACCATCAAGTGATGAGTAATGATCTATAAAAAGCCACTATATACTTGCATTTATACATGCAACACACTTGTGTATTTTGATATATCTTTGAGCAACACTGATTTATTAATAAACTGATAATAATACAAATTAGCAAGTGGTCTGATTTTTTTTCTGTTTGTTGATTTTTGCCTTTGTGTCCACGTGTGTCATGTAATGTAAAAGCCCTTTTGGTTAGTTTGTAGGCTTTAAAAATTGCAGTTATATATTCTTCTCTGGCTTGAAATCTTGGAGCTTTCCTGATTTCAAAAATTAAGTTGGAAACTGGCAAAAACTAAAAATTGAAAAGTAACTTGACTATAATACAAAATACACTTTCAGAGAAAAAGGGCATTGCACACACACACACACACACAAACAAACACAAACAAATAAATAAATAAACATATAAACAAATAAATAAATAAAACTGGCAATCGTGCCATCGTTAGCGTCTGTAGGAATGTCCTGATTGTACCGTTTTCACATATACAAATCATTCAAAAGCAACTTTCCTAGTCCTGGTCTGGACAAAATCTTTTCTTAATGAATACAACACTGCTAAAACAGTACAGCAACCTTTTTGGTTAAAATGTTGAAGCAAACAATGAACATTCTAAGTTTGTCTCAAAAGGGTTAAACCACTTAGTCAGCCAAGAAGAAAGCGTACATGGCTGCAATAAATTTAAAAACTGACGCATAAAACCTGAAAAGGGCCTGGCATGTGATGGCCCCACCCTTGCATCGCTTGTGTTCAACACATGAGACAGCTATGCCTGTGTTATGCAAAATGACAACAATTATCCCTGTTTCCACACCCTGGGAGTTACCCGCCTATATTAAAACTCCCCTACCAGCCATCCACCAGACTCCGATCAATCACTAGGAAGAAGGACAGCATCTGCCTCTTTGGACTTCACCTGTGTAAGTGTTCCTTTTACTCTGAATTCATTATTATTTTTTGTTTTAAGCTGTTTCTATGGTCATTGATTCTAGTACTCCATCTTTGTCTTTTACCAGCCTAATTGATCATACTTGAGGTAGAGAGGTTGAAAAGCAGGCATGTTACTGGTTGTTTCTCTAATGCTGTAACTGATGTTGTCCAATTCAACGGCTGATCGTCTTCCAAAGTCAAGAAATACTGTAGTACATACTATGTATTGTAAGAATTTTCTGCCTTTAAGAAGTGTAACGATTGCAATTCAATGATCAAAATAACTCAATTTTTTTTAACCTGAAGATTTTCTGAACCTTTTCTGAAATTTTGTAGTTTTGATTTTACAGAGTAAGTCAGCAAAGTGGCAGCATAAAATCTCCTAAACTTGAATTTTTAAGAATTTAAAAGATGTTTGGTCTAAGCCGGTATTTAAAACACGCACAAAAGAAACGTCACACATTAAAATGCAAAGTAAGAATAGAAACCTGTTGAAACACGACCCAACAATTGATTGTAATTAAAGTGTTGTCTCTGAAAGGGACAGTCATGATTAAGGATTTAGTGTGGCTGCTAATGGGGTGACCTTGACTACTCCTGGCCACTCCCTGGCTACACCCTTGCTGCTTGTGTCAAAAAATGTTTGCCTGACTGGTTCTTCTTCGATACTCAAACCTATACTTACGGTACTCTTGGTGGTTACAAAACCGAATGCCATTTCCACTCCCTTTCTATTTGTTTGATTCCATGACTCTGTGGTTATATAATTTCTAAATACTGTTCATGTATTTCTTTCTGATGTAACTGGACGTGTCTTTTGTTGAAAACTATCGAACATATTTAATGATGATTTGTCTAACCGGTGGTAAAAACTGCTGTTCAAATTTTTAACATACAAGCTGTTATAACATTGGACCAAACTTTCTAAGGAAGAAAAAACGATCTCTTAAAATACTTTTTTTTTTTTATTGTGTATACTATTTGCATTTTATATTTTCTTACTGCATTTTATTTGACTTTCTGTTTGTTTATCCACACAGTGAAAAAATGATGACGCTATCTCTTGCAGCAGGTAAGACACTTTGGTCAACTGTATGTCTACTAAATCTTCATTTTTAAATAACTAAATAAAAATCCTCCATTGATTTACACATCTATTTGCCGGTGAACTTTTTTGATTAACAAAAAAAAAAAAACTATTGGTGGTTGATGCACATAATAACCTGGAACAACATGGCCAAAAATATATCTGCTTTAATAGAAAGTAATAATCGGGCATCATAATTCATGGGCTGATCGTTAAAGGATTTTTATAACCTTATACTAACAAACTTTCCCCTCTGCAGGTCTTTGCTTGATCTTCGCCAGCTTGGGTAAGTTCATTACAGACATCAAACACAACCACAGCTCTGCTTGCACATACACAATACCCAGTGGTCGACAGATGATCGTAAAAACAAGAAGGACATTGATATGACTAATCTCTTCAAAAACTACTATTCTCATGATTTTCCATCATCCCTTAGCTTCTTCTACAAGCAGGCTGGTGTGTTACTTCAACAGTGAGGCTGAAAGAAGGCCCGCCATGGGGAAGATGACTGTGTCAGAGATTGATCCGAACCAGTGCACCCATCTGGTTCTTGCCTTTCACGGCATACGTGAAAATGAGATAGCAGCTATGAATGAAACGGATATTCAACAGTATTCAGACTTCAATGGACTCAAAACCCGGTCAGTACTTCAGCCAACGGATACTGTGGAAACTAAGGTGTTCCATATTTTTTGCGATAAACATAACAAGACATAACACTGACATTAAACAATTTCTATGCTCTCATAGTAATCCACTTTTGAAGACCCTGGTAGCTGTTGGTGGCCCGAATGTCAACCCACAAGAGTAAGTTCTCTTTTCAAACGCTCAGGCACTTTTGGTCTTACTGGTTCTCACATGCCTAGAGGTTTTTGCCAGAAACATAAATTGTTATTTCTAATGTTTGCAAAATGTATGGTCATTTCCAAAGGAGGCCAGTAACTGTGCATGATGATGATAGGCTCATGCTGTGGATTATATTTGTTATTATCATCACTAGTGGAAAACACAGTTATGAAGTAGAGGTGTGAAAAGCACTAATTCACCTTTTCTTTTACAGGTTCAGTTCAGTGATGAATTCAATGGAGAACGAAAGGGCATTTATCCTGTCTGTCGGCAGATTATTGAGATTAAACAATTTTGATGGAGTAGTCATTGACTGGAGGTACCCTGGAGGCCAGCCACAGGACAAGACTCAATTCACAAAGCTGTGCAACGTTAGAGGCATTTCCAGAAACATTCCATTATCTTACTGCTGTATGAAAATATTTATATCTAATGGAGACAAAACCCCACTTCTGTGTTGTACAGGACTTAAATCAGGCATTTATGATTGAAGCAAGTGCAGTCGAACTGGACAAACTCCTGGTAGTAGCATCTGTCTCTGCTGACAGAGAAACCATTGACAACGGCTATGAAGTGGAGGAGATTGCCAAGTAAAGAGTTTTCTAAGTAATCACTGTCTGCCTACAATTTATGAGTGTTATTTGTCAGTGAAGGTGATGTCCTCTGCTTGTTATTAGGTCCCTGGATTTTATTAATGTGCTGACGTTTGACTTCCACGGCCCCTGGGAAAGCACCACAGGACATCACAGCCCCTTGTTCCAAGGATCACAGGACACCGGAGACAAAATCCACTCAAACACTGTAGGCATGAGGGTTAAAAATTTCATTTTCTTACACAAGTTTTTATATTTTATTTTGACGTTTGGTTTGCACGTTTTAGGACTCTGCCCTGAAGTACTGGCAGGCCAAGGGAGCACCCGCAGAGAAGCTGAACATGGGGCTGGCAGCCTATGGGCGAGCTTTTTCCCTCTCATCTGACTCCACTGATGTTGGAGCACCAGCAAGTGGTCCTGCTGAGGAAGGCTGCTACACCGGTGAAGAAGGACTTTGGGCCTTTTATGAGGTATGACTGCAAGTTATAAGTATTTGCAGTTTATACCGTGATCGTCATTATCTACCCACACTTTCCATGTATTTGTTGTGTTGTAAATCAGTCTACCTTGATTCAATCTAAATAAGAAATCGTGCCTTTCTTTTTAGACCTGCCTTTATCTCGAGGAGGGTACAGTAAAGGGCATTCCTGATCAGAAAGTTCCTTATGGCGTAGCAGAAGGTCAGTGGGTTGGATATGATGATGAAAACAGCCTGGATGACAAGGTAATCATCATCTCTATCCAAAATCCATTAATCAGTGGCTAATTTGACAATGTCAGGTGGCACAAAAGTTAGATTTTAATGATTTTTTTTTTTTTTGCTCAGGTTGATTACCTCGAGGCAAACAATTTTGGAGGGGTTGTAGTCATGTATCTAGACTTCGATGACTTCACTGGACAGTTCTGTAAAAGGGGTAAAAGCCCCTTCATCAGCAAACTGCATGATCGCATTGTGACAGGTAATGACACTGCAGAAACTGTTCATCATAATTTGTCTTACAATTATGGTTTTAGTGTGTATAATATTTTGTTTAATTCACCTCTGAGTTGTCAACTAAATGCTCAACTACATGTATTAGTTTTACTTTATTTTATTCACGTGCGTAGTTTCTAGGTAGCAATAACTGCTAATGCAAAGACTTTCCACAAAATGACACAAAATGGTCACCCAAAGGAAGCTCAATTTACTCAATATACACATCCTTTTCTTACAGGTTCCTCTCAATTACCCAGTACCTCTACAACTCAACCAGCTACAACCACATCTCCACCTACAACCAAAGCTACAACTACTAAAACTACAACCACATCTCCACCTACAACCAAAGCTACAACTACTAAAACTACAACCACATCTCCACCTACAACTGCTAAAACTACAACCACATCTCCACCTACAACCAAAGCTACAACTACTAAAACTACAACCACATCTCCACCTACAACCAAAGCTACAACTACTAAAACTACAACCACATCTCCACCTACAACCAAAGCTACAACTACTAAAACTACAACCACATCTCCACCTACAACTGCTAAAACTACAACCACATCTCCACCTACAACCAAAACTACAATCAAAACAAAATCTAATGGAGAAATCTGTGGGAGTGGTGAGAGTGGGATTTACCCTGACCCTGACAGTAACACCCATTTTTACAACTGTGATCATGGTAGTGCAACTCGCCAAGAATGTTCTTCTGGTTTGGTCTTTAAAGAGCCTTGCAAATGCTGTGATAATCCCTAAGTACAGTTATGAGGCTAATCCCTGGTAGTTGTACTGCTTACTTTCACACACATATTAAAAGGGTTCTATGTGAAACTTCTGAATTTCACAGCTCAGCTGCATGTAAGAAAATCAGAAGCTGTTGTCGTAAAACATGGAGGTTTACAGGCTGTGTAATGCCATGATTGTTTACTTTGTGATTATTTCCTTTCAACTATGTTAATTAATTAATTAACATTATTTATCTTAAGTCATAAATACACGATTAAAACCTATCTGTATTTTATTCATTTAGCTGTGTGTGTTCCTGCTTTCTTTACTGCAGTTATATTGATAAGCCTTCCCTTATTATACTTTTTCTTCTGTTTGTCACTGTTGGTGTATGAAAGTTGAACTAATCAAGTGTCCTCTTTTATTTATACCCAGCTTTTTAAATGACTGCATTTGCTACACACAATAGGAACTCTGCTGTTGGACACTGCATACACTTGGTAACTGATATCTCAACCACTACACTATCCAAATATATTTTAATTTATCTTTCTGTAACAATCTTAAAATAATAAAATTATAAAACCAAAAGTTTGCATTTGGTTTCATTTTGTCCATTTTTGCTCTGCCCATGTGAAGCATTGTTGTTTACCTCCCATGTATGCAGAAATCAATCCCACCCACCCTTAAATGTACAACTTGATATATAACTAACCACGTAGTACCAAATTTTAGGACTGTAGGAATGAAAAAAAACCTACTTAGCCATCTGTATAAGGCCAATCAGACAGAAATTGACCTTATCTCTGAAGTAACCACTATCACTACTTTTGCTTTTACTTCTTGAATTAGAAATTTTCACTTGTATATCAGCCCAAGTATCACTTCTCGGTCCTGCAGTTACCAGAGTCAAATAAGAGGATAAAAGACCCTAAAATAATTTCCTTTCATGCAGCATGTATTAAGGCACATCTTTCTCACCTTTATTCTTTAATGTTTCAAATTTATTGTGTCATAGAGAAGAATCTTTTTATAGTCTCTGTTACAATAAAAAAAAAAAGACTTGGCAGTCATCATAAAAGCGGCACCATCTGATTTACAAGTTTTCAAGTGTGCAGGTTTTCTCACCCAACAAAATATTCAAAGGTCATTTCATTGATTTATAACATCAACGTCAAAATTCACAGCAGTCTGCTACTCACTCTTTAGCAATGTTGAAATGTGATGTAGACATCATAAGATCACGGTGTAAATACTACACATTGTGAATCAAGAATCTTAAAGAGCATTCATGAGAAAAGCTTAAATTAACAATTCGTTTGAAAAAAAGTAATCGCTGACTCTACTGTTTTAAATTATGTTGATTTTGTTGTTTAAAGTTCAAGTCCATCAAAGCGCTGATAGTTTTAGTTGAAATGACAATTACTGTTTGATGTGTTTTCCCTAGAACTCCTCAGAGTTCATGTACTGAGCTGTGAGGCTCAGGGAGCTTTTGAATGTCGCAGTTTTGCATCAGATTGAAGTAAAACATAACAAGCTCTTCGTAGTTCTTTTTGGAAATTCTTTCATTGATGCCATGGAATCTGAGAACAGAGAAAAAGGAAAAAGTTCCTTTATGGTTTAAGTCATTTGTATCTCACTGTATTTGTTCAAGGGAATCTTTACAAGTAGGTTGCAGTTAAGTTGGATTATGAAAAAGCAGTTAATTGTAACAGCAGCAGCAGAAAAAATGTTAAAACTATTTTTACAGACTTAAATCAAACTAGATTCTTACCTCTGAGGATCCCCTGGTTTAAACCAGACTGGGGCGAACCGATAAATATCATTGGTCAGCTCCTTGAAATGTCGACTGTCTGTGTTTCCCACACAAATACCTATATGATGGAAACATTATATCTTTCGAAAGTATCAAATAACAAATTACCCCAACACCAAACTATCAAATCTATATGTATTCTACCTGGGGCAACCGTCACTGTTGGGAATAAATCCAACACTGTCTTCTTGATGATCTGGAAGCCGAAAGACTTTTCATCTGAAGAACTGACAGGGAGAGGATCAAACCCGTCAACAAGCTCTATCTTTACTCGATCATCCCCCACAGTAGATTGGATGAGGTCCAGGACCTGACATAGATAAGAGCACGTTATTTAACCAAGACAATTTTCATGACAGTGCAGGGATACTCAAAAAGAACAGTATCAATCTGTACCTCTTGTAACGTCTGTGATGAATGTATTCGTAGATTAACGAAGGCTTCAGCGAGGGAAGGGATGACATTCACCTTAACACAGAAAAGGAGTCAGTATTCTCTCTTGTACTGAAATTTGTGATAAAACCAAGTAGTCTTCTAATGGCAGTGTATTCTTACACAACTATCAATGTAAAGAGTTGGATTTTCTTAAATTTTGTTAAGTTATGTGGTATAGCTGATTTGTGGTGGTTGATAGTCAATCTGTTTGTCCATTTCTGTGGCCAAGATGACAAACTTTTTTCTGTAGGTTATACTCTCACAACCGATATGTGCTTCAAATAATACCACTTAAAAAAAATTAATCCCTTTGAGTCAATATCTGTACCTTAACTCCTGAATTAAAGATGGTGACTGCTGTGGTCGTCCTCACAAAAGCATTGGTGTCAGGCCTTCTTTCAAGAACTCTGAAAATAAACACAGACAAACTGACTCTCTCATGTTGACCAAACCTAGGAAATCATGCTGGTTGAATTTGACAACATGATTACCTCCCAAGGAGTGGGGAAAACAACCAGAAATTGGACATTATGAACTTCATTGGGAGCTTGAACTAGATTTCAAATAATGGAAAAGTGGGAAACAAGCAGAGTGTTAATATGCTGCTGGTTGTGATGATTGGGAACAAAGAGTTAGTTCCTGTTACCTTATGGGCCAGATGCTCAAAGGTTCCACGTTCAGGCCCATGACCAAATAATCTTGGCATGGGGTTATCCTCTAACCTGAAATTATGATGCAGTGAAAGACACTGATTTTATGATTTAGTAAATAAAAAGGTACAAATTTTAACAAATTTACAGCATACAAAATGTCTTCAGAAAATGCTCCCTCACCTTTTGACTGCAGCAGCCAAGATCCCAATACTGGATTCACGGGGAGGCATTGAGGAGTGTCCCGGAGCCACTGACACGCTGAGTTTTACAGTGGCAGAACCCTTTTCACTTACTCCAATTCTACAATTCATGTAATGTTGTAGCAAACATGTAAAAAATGTGGATTAGTCACCTTAACTTGTATGTTTACATTTTATACAAAATTTAATGAAGATTGTAAAACTGAGAATTTAGCTTAACATCAAAGTTGTACACCAAAGCTTGGCAAGTTCTCACAAAGCTGCAGGTCCATCAAGACCACCGATGATTCCATCAAGAACAGCCAGGCCTTCATCCAGGACAAAAGACAATTGCACACCACGCTGTTTCAGTAACCGCACTATATTCACTGCCCCTTTGTAACCACTGACCTTTAAAAAGAAATATTAAAGGAATCAGGAATTTAGATGTTCAATCATATTAATCTGAGTGACAGCTTCAAAAAGACAAAGTTTTATGAACATATTTTTAAATTGTGAATTGTTCCTGTACTTCTTCATCGTGACCTAGGCCAATGTACAATCCTCGGCGTGGAGCGTAGCCTTTCATCAGCAAGTATTCCAGGGCCTGCAGGATGCCCTGAAAGAATTGAAGCATAACTGTTCAGCCTATTTTGTACATGACAGGTGATTTAATATCTAAACTCTGATTTATAGAGAGAGAGCAGACGAAGTATGATTTATTTCTCTCACCATAACTGAGTTTTTGTCATCAATGGTCCCTCTACCATAGATGAAGCCATCCATCTCCTCCGCAGAGAATGGTGGGGCCTCCCAGCCATCTGATTCTGAAGCAGGTACAACATCAATGTGGGCCAGTAGGAGATATGGGACCAGGTTAGGGTTTGACCCTTGCACCTGAAAGAGGTGGCTGTAGTTGGACACCAATTCATGACGAACCAAACTTGAAGAAAAAACTGTTGGGAAGGCTGGCAAGGAAAGAAGAATACAAGTTTGAATGCAGACCTCTTTTTTGAAAACAATAAGACCAGTATAGTATTTAGCTTCGGAAAGTTGTATGATTTATCTACAAAACTACAACAAAAGTTAAATGTGTAAAAAAGCTGAGAATGTTTGCAACGCTACCCTGTGAGCCATGATCAAAAAAAAAATATTTTGTGTTGTGTGAATTGTTAAATAACGTTTATTTGCAACTTAAAGGTAGAATAGGCAGTTATCTGTTAAAGAAGCATCCTTTTTTGTGGTGATTAACTTTTTGGCGCCCCCTGTGGACAGAACAGTCTTTGCTTATCTTGTCCTCTTCATGCTTAAAGGTGGGGTAGGCAGGATTCCGTTAAAGAAGCGTCTTTTTTGAGGTGTATGTACAAAAAAGCTTTTAATATCAGTCAATAGCTATTAGTTATTGATGACATTTGGGAATATCACAATATCGCTGTGTTCTCTTATGCCTGTGTAGTCAACATTTTTACATTTTTGAACTGTCCCCTTATTCTGACTGTAAGCAAAGCCGTTCTTCACCTCCACGACCTGATTGGTTGTGAGGCGGACACTGATTCGTAGTGCTGATTGGTTTTGAGGCAGACGCTGCTCCCTCGTGTTGTGAGGTACCCAAGTCCTCAAATAACGTGCATAAGTCTAAACAAAGTTAGCCGTCCAGAACCATCCAGAAAGTATGGAAAAATGTCTGAATTCGGTTCGGTACGTTCACTTAAAAGATTCGGTTCTTTTGAACGAATCGTTCGGGAACGAAACAACACTGACTTCCTCAGATCCTGCCTACCCCATCTTTAAGGCAGTTGAAAAACTATTGTAAACTTTTTCATAACACGACTAGAAGTTAAACTTTAATGAGAATCTGTCATGAATCACACACAAGACTGCTAGCTATAATTCGATCGGGCTGAAAGTAGTCTGCTCACACCTGAAAAGTTAAACACTGAATTTTAAATCATAGTTGCGCAGTTTTGCTCCTCTGTATTTCGGAGAAGGTCCCAGTGATGAGGGAGAATAAACCCAACAGAGGGAACACCGTGAGAAGCACAGGTTGTTACATGTAGCCTTGCGCAACATTAGCTACCGTTAGCTTAACACCTTTAGCTGGTAGCATTACTCTGTACGTAAACGGTCGTTTAAAAAACGAATATTAACGGTTATTTCCGAACGTTGGCCGTTTAAGTTTTGAGCTGGACCTCCCGGCATTGTCACGTTGTATGGCAGCCTGATGCTCTAGTAAACAGCTACATAAATGCGTCCATTATTACACATTTATACGTTGTCTTTTCACTACGTAGAGGACTGATAGGGCATTTATCATGTTATTCAGGGACATTTTTTACCTTTACGGAGGAGCCTGTCAAACTCACGCAGCGCGGTGGTGTTGCTCTCCGTCTTCGAGAATGAGACAGTGGGGATCTGGATGGCCTCTAATGAATGAATGAATGAACAAACAGATAGTTAACCATACTTACTTTACCCGTTTGTGATGTTTTCCTTCTCTTCGCCACTTTTTTACACAGTGGTGAACAAGAATTTACCCTTTACTGACCTTTAAAATTCGCAATAAGCTCTTCTCTCTTGTTGTGGTCTATGACAAACGGAATATTATTCGTCTTTTCCCAATTTGCCAGTTGAAGCCCGACATTTACGTCCAGTGTAAAAGTCCTGATAGATGCTATAGTAAGTAACACCAGGGCTGTAATGAGAAGGCTACAAAAAAGTATCTTCAAAAACTTAAATGTTCTGAACTTTTGCCCCGTTTCTGTCATTGTAGATTGTTTTGATGGCGGAACTCATTCACAATAGCTGTGGACTCATGGTGCAGACTCAGTTGTCTAGACTGTGGAGTGAGAGCCACCTGCTGGTGTAGAGGAGACAGTCTACCTATTATCTGTAAAATCACTCTCTAACTCTGTGTACAAGTAGGCGGTGTATTCCAATATTATGCAACAAAGCACAACTTGTACCTTGTCCTTATAATCCCTCCTCATTCCGTGTACTACATGCAGATTTTTATACTTGCATGTCTTCTATGTAACTTAAGCATGTGTCATTGTTTCCACAACATATGAAACACAACAACCTTTATTTAAGCATAACTCCAGAATTTAAAGTAACAATCAACATACAGTAAAAGCAAGTCATTGAAAAGTCACCTTTTTGTGCCATCATTTGGTTAGAAAGTACAAAAACTTTTGCATAATAATTTTCTTCAACCCCTTAAAATATTAACTGAATACCTGCTTTGGTACACGGTTCAACTACAGTATCGAGTGCTAACATGTAAAGATGCTTTTTGAGGTATATTCAGTTTTAGACATAACATAGCAGAATGTTTGAATCATGTGTTCCCTAAAATATCCCAAGATATACTCATTGTGACTTGAATATGTGAAAATCAAGCCCCCGTGTTTGTCAGTCCATGCAGAGGAAGTAAACAGGGGCTACTCCTGTCCGGAAAGTGGTGCTGTATCCTGTGTCTCAGCCTGTAGCGAACGCTCTTCATCACTTAGACTGTCCAGTAGGGCTAAGATTGGGCTGAATGAGTTGTCCTCGGCAGAAACATAAATGAGGTAAAGAAGGCACGCCACAATAAGGAAGACCACAAGTTGTATCTGGATGGGCACGAGGCGGCGTTCCACTTCTTGTCTTTCCAGAGTTGTGGGACTGAGGGGGGTGTCTGGGTAGGCAAACTGGATAGGTCTCCCTGCTGCACCCTTGATTGGTTTCCGACAAGAGGCGCTGAAATACAAAATGGTATTTCATGCAATGTCAATATTACTCCTAACACTGAGTTGAAATTGTTGCGTGTTTTTATATTTCTGTATCATTTTATTGTATTATTTTATACTGGTATGGAACTTACTAGATCCCTGTTGGTGTTGTCACTGCATCTGGAAACATATCCTTGTATGATTCTTTCAAAGGCTCATGAGGAAGCTAGAAGAGAACACACAATTAAAATAGAAAAAGCAGAAAATGTCCCAGGCAGATGAGTCCAACAGAAATGAAGGCTCGGCAACTGAGGTGGGAACAAAAGAAAAGACTGGTTGTTTATGTCTTCAGCAGAGATCTGACACATGAAAGCAAAATATGAAAGTAAGCAAATACCATGCTAAATATTCCAGGTTTGGTGTCTTATAGTTACACCGAAATTCAAAAGGAGTAGCACCTTGCAAAGCGTGTTTTTGCAGGCAAAGTAAACACACCCATAAAGTGAATGAAATAAAACAGTAGAAATACTTTATGCGCCTTCATTCCTCTTTTATAAGGAGAACTCTTTGGTGTGAAGTACGGGGTCTGATTCTTCATGTGGTACTTGTCTTGAATTGGCATGTCCAGCTATAGAGGAAAAGCAACAGATCGTGACATACAGGGATTTCTGCTGTATTTCCACCTTAAGTGTACTCTTTCCACTTAAACCACCACTTACATTTAAGTGTAACTGAACAATGTGAGTACTACTAACCCTGCTGGGCTGTGACCAATGATCAGGCACATTGCTCCCATTCAGCCCTCTCTCACTGCCGGTGCTTGCAGAGAGCAACGCTTGACTCTCCATCTGTTGTTCATAAGTCAAATGGTCACGACCACCGGAGCAATGCACCGGTGATAAGTGAAAAAAGAACATTAAAATGCTGGTGCCATTTTTTTTAATATGTGAAAGACAGGTTTGTAAAATGGGATTAACTTTCCTCCTCAACCATTTGTGTGATGCTGAAGGTCTGAGAGGAAAAGCTGTTGAGCTGAACTGGTTGTGACACAGACGATACCTGCAAATATCAGTATATTATCATATTAGCATGAGCATATACATGGATTATTTATTAAACTATTTAAACACCAGTGATATTCTAAAACCCATCTCTATAAAAATCAAAACAACCGCATTAGTGGTAATAAAAGAACGCTGGAAAATAGAGTGATACCAAACCAGGAGTGATTGTACCATATGATGTGACACTGCATTTGCAAAAATTGGATTGTAAGGTGCTTTTAGGAAACTATCCATTGATTATGCCACATTTGTTTCTGTTATACAGCAATGTGTGCTATCAAGCTCACAAGAAAACGTAAGTAGCTAAAACTTATTTACTAATCACCAAAAGTACTGGATAAATGCTTAGGACAGTTAGCTAACATTAAAAAAAGCATCAAATTTAAGAAAGCTACAAGTACTGGATGGTAGCTGATACTTTCAAGTTGAAATACTGTCCTAAGGAATTTAATAAATAGTCAAATTGTACAGCTTAAAGTCTGAAATATTTAGTTGTTAACAGTTTGTGAAATAAAAGAATTAGAATAAAACAGCTGTAACACCGAGCTTGTGCATAAAGTGTCTTATGTGTATTCACCATACCTTCTGCTTCTTCTTCTAAATGAAATTATTCTTCAAGTATGCCCTTTCATGCATGTTGTGTTATACATGTGGTAGATAAAGGTGGCTTTGTTGAAATGGTTAACTCAGCTAAATGGACTGCAGGGTTAACCCAGTTAAAAAAAAAGGCTGGGAACCACTCACTTTTAAGCAAGAGGAATGCAGAGAATTTAAAAGCAGCAAGAGGAGAGGAATAAGGCCAGCCTACCCCTGATCCTAATCCTGAGAGTTGATCTACAGACGATGCTCGACTTATTCCTGCAGGAATCTGTGAGCACTGAGACTGACTCCGCTCTGATGTTTTTAGTGCATTCCCTGAATTCCACTTGGGAGCAGGTTCCCTGTTTCTGGAAGCCTGAGCCCGCTACAGAGGGCAAATCGGGACAAAAATAAAATCAGCGTCTGCTCTATTATTTTGACAGTTTTTCTTTTTTTCTTCAATACTTAAAATTGAAAAATCTGTTGTTTTTACCAGCCTTGATGATGGCAAAAAGCACTGTGGGTAAACAAAACCACCTTTCTGAAAATAAGTCTTTACCTGTGTGAAGTTACAGGGAGAAAAAAACAACAACAAATGTAAAACATGAAAATACAAGCGCATTTTCAACAAGTGGACAAGAACCTTAGGGTACAGTTTCAAGCCGACACCACTAAGTGGCACTATAGGGAAGATAAATTTGATACAGCTGGTGACAGCAAAACTGCAAGTTCTTCTAACGGTATTATACCAGGTATTATGAGCACCATGTTTTCTGATCTTTCAAGGAACTATAAAAACTACATCAATTCAAAACCCGCTTCAACAAAGAGCTGCTTTCATTTTCTCACCGGGACACTCTCTTGTTGGGCCTGCTCAGACTGTTCCACTGTTTCCTCTTGTTCTCCTTCAGATTCTGTAAAAATCACAGGAAATAATATGAAAGCAGATGATTATTTGATGTGAAGCAAAAAAATACAAAATATATAAAGAAACACACAGACTACCTGACTCTCTGTCTTGATCTTCCTCATTTTCCTCCTCTTCTTCGCTGTCAGAGTACAGTACACCTTTCTCTGTTCCATTCAGAGCGCTGTGCCCGTCGGACTGAAGCAGTGCCCTGAGCTTTTTCTCATACAAGGCCCTGGTAGTGCCTGACATAGACAGACATATTAACGACATTATTCATATTAATAAAAAAAACTTAGAATGATGACTAAGATGACATATGGTGGAAATCAGTTTTAGGACTATTGAGAATGCAACTTTACCAACTATGGGTCCAGGTTTGAACCCGTGTTTGAGCAGTGCAGCCTTGAGGTCATCATCGGTCAAGTCCCTTGGGTCAGGGATCCCCGCATCCTCTGGATCCTTGTCCTTAAAAAAAAAGAAAATAATTTCATATAGACAGATGACGCAGCCTAAATTGCAAGAGTTTGCTGCTTGGGGATGTACATTTTTGAAAATATGTCAGAGGGGGAAAGAGACTTTGAGAGGAGGCTGTATTTTTAAGTTTACGGTTATACTGCCACAAGCTTTAATGACCCTTTTTGAGTGTGTGTCGATATCATTAGGGCTGCATCCAGCATAATCAGCGTGATACTTTATTCTTTATTATCATCATTCATTTATTGGGACTTGTTAATGAGTGGTTAAGTTGATGAAATGACAAAATACATTTAAAAAAAATGACAGTCAGAGTTCCTAGACTGTCAAGTTTAAAATGTTAGAATAGTTTGGTACAATATGCTTTTCTCCCAATTCTATCCTATGATTTTTTTGGATGCCAATTCGATTTAAATTACGATTCTGCGATATTGTCGATTTTCTCGATATTTAGTCAGTTTTTAAGATTTATTCTTGAATTTGAAACAAACAAAAAAAAAAAAGATTTTTGATCATAAAAATCGATTTAAAAATTGTCAAACAAAAAATCGCAATACTTCTGTGAATCGATTCTTTCTCCTGCCCCTATTAACACACATGCATATTCACAACCTATGTGGTCATTTGTACAAGGGAGGAAGTTAGTAAGTTTGTTTTACTCATTATTTTCTGATTCATGACGACAAAATTTAATATTATAGTTTAAAAATAAAGAAAGTCCCAGTTAATTTTCTTAGCAACCAGAAAAAGTTCCCAATCAAATATATTGACTTGTTTATTCAACTTACAACTTACACTACAAAGACATAATGGGCAATCAATAGTGCAATAGTGCAGTTGTCTGTATGGTGCAAGACATAGTAGTCTGTGCAAACAAAGTGTCTTTCAAACCTTTAGTAGACACCATAGAAACAGCTCCAGACCTTGCGCTTGTAAATGAGAGCAACAGGTGTTGCAAGCACATGCACAGGACTGTGATGGTAGCCGCCAACTACAGAAATGGCCCATGTAAATCTATACCAACTATACAGCTGGTGACTCAAGACCTCAAATGCAACAGCAAAGTTGAGAGGGCTGTTTGACCTAAATGTACCCCTCCTCCCCAACTCAGCTGCTGATCTTGATAAGCACCAGAGTAATTATAACCAATCTTTCCAATTATTGTTGCCATGCAAACCGATCAGTCACACTTAATAAAACTCTTGATGTCCCTTAAGGCATTCTTGACAAGTCTTTACCAACAACAACATTTGTTATGATGTCAAACTTCATTTGGGAGATCATTTCTCAAACATGACAAACAGCTCAGTGGGAAAACGTTTTCCTGTCAAAACTGCTATTTCAAATTAAGCTGACTACCTCGTAATGAATGTGCAAGTCGTGATTGAGGTTGAGGGCACAACGTGTTTAACTCTGAAAAAAGTCAATATTAAAAGAAAATTGCTCGAGCGAAAAATCATCTAAAATTTGATCGACTTACTTCCACATCTTGCACTTGATCCTCCTCATCGCTAGAGAAATCCCCTGCGTGTTTTAGATCGATGTGTTTTGAGTGTAACTCTACATACACCTCCTTTTTACTCTTTGTAGGTGGCAGCGCGACATTGTGGGCAATTAGATCTGACTTCAGTCTGGCTTTGGATAGATGAGCAGGGTCCTCCTCAAACAGCGGCATCTCCTGGAAATTGCTCTAAAAACTGGTTTAACTTTAGTGCCCGATAATGTTGATAGCCGATGGAACCACAAGGAGAGCCTCTCTGCCTGTGCTCAGAAAGAAACCCACTGACCGACTGATCTGAGAACAGCTGCACCTGACGACGTGATTGACAGCAGGCACGTTAGCTAGCTATCATATACCATATTCTTAGACTTACCGTTGGTTAACTATGTGGTTAGCTGGTGTTTAAGTCCTGAAAGTTCTTTAAAACTATTTTTTACTACATTGTATTTATGAATTGATACATTTATATTACAACAAAACAAACAAACTTGTTGCCTCTTTTAGCTTTCCAGCTAGCTAGCAAGCAGAGTTTACTTGATATGAGTGTTTTGAGCTGCTACCCACTGAGCAACAGACGGCTATTAGACGTCTAGCTTTTTTTAGACTTAATTTCAACCGTCAAGATTCTGTGTATTTTTTGACAGAAATTAGACGTTGCACTTTAACCCATTATTTTATAACTATTTATTTCAAAAAGCAACTGTGAGCTGCATAACTGATCTCCAAGTACTTAACCAAAATAATTATGATAGCCGTTTAGCAATATACAGTGTAGTATAGATATAGCCCAGGTTTAGATTTAGTCTAAACTTGGTCTAAATTTAGACGTTAAAAAACTTTCATTTTTGGACCTGTGTTAGCCTGATTTTAGACCAGTCGTCTAGGCTACATTTAGACGTCTATTTTACCTATATTATACCAAAAAATGCTCAGTGGGTGGGTAATGTCAACAGGAATTATCAACAAATCTTAATTTAAAAAAAAAAACACAAGGGTCTTTATTTTTGAAAACGTAATTTGTTAAATTGTTTTGGCTTTCCTCAAAGTAATAGCACCTTTTACAGGAAAGCCTCGGGGCTTGTGAGACAAAAGCTAAGGTAGGAACTTTTTGTTCATCTATGTATCTCTATGTATTTAATTATCTGCAATATCTGCAACTTTCACTTGCAGCAGTTTTTAGCCACTGTGCAGGGGTTTCACAGTGGCTAAAAAAACAACTTTTTAACCTTAAATTGTGAAAAAACTGTTTCCATGTGTTTTTCTAAAAGGCAAAAACCGCATAATGATTTCACTGTTGATCAGAAGGAAATACAGAAAGTAAATGAGTTCAAATCTCTAGGTGTTGTCTTTGATTAACAGCTAAAATTTGAAGGACAAATCAAGACTAATCTGAACTGCTTTCGACTTATAACACCTTGTCTGCCCAGTTGCACTCCATGATTCTTTCTCACTTCTATATTGCCTAAGTGTCTGGAGCCAGGCCACTCAATCTGTAACGAAGCCTGTCACTATACAAACAAACCTTAAAAACACTCAATCAAAAGCCAGTGAAATGGCACCATTGCATAGTTTTACACAAGTACAACTTGTTGAGCTTCGACAATTTCATAAATCTCTCATTTCTTAAACTGGTTTTTAAGTGTGTGAATGGCTTTGCCCCAGACTTAGTTAATGAAATGATTGAAAAGTACTCATATAAAGGAGCTTCTACAAGAGGAGCAGTCAGTGGATACTGTGAACCCACAAAGCGCAGGACAGCTTTTGGCCAGTCTTCCTTCTCAGTCAAAGGTCCACAGATTTGGAATATATTACCATCAGAAATAAAAACATTAAAGGACCCCAAAGCTTTCAATATCAAAACAAAACTATGGCTGAAACAAAGACAAATTTGTGAACTCTAACTTACATATATGTATATTATGGCATGTATGTGTGTCTATGTGTATGTATGTATATATATATATCTATGTGTGTGCATGTTTTTTTATTATTGTGTGTCTGCACCTGCTATAATGTTAGTTTTTATTTAGTGGTTTATGTATTATGTGCTGTATTCCCTGCTGTCTAACAAGAGACAACGACTGTAAATTAGCAACAGCTAGAAGTCCTGCATACACGGCATTGGTTGCTCTTTAATTAGATGCAACAATGCTTGGTGTTCTGTCCCTGTCAAATAAGCGAATGAAAAATAAAAGCTGTGGTTTTAAGTGGGCTATAGTTTGTAGCCTTAAGATATAATGCTTTCTGATGTTCCCCATTCCTGGACAATGCATGTTGGCTCTTGAAACTTTTTTGTTAACGTAGCTTCATCATGTGTAACAAGATGGATGCCCGTCTGGAAACACATTAACAAAAAATAACTGGGTCAGACATCCTGTAGTAGATCAATACACGTGTGTCCATGTTTAAAGGACACACAGATGAGTTAGGTGAGCTATGGTTGTGTGACAGAAGTGAGTCAGCATGTGCAATACCATGAGTCTGAAACTTTGGAGGGGGTTGGGGTCAAACATTTATGCAGCAATAATTTTATCATTAATACCTGTACTTATTGTTTGTACTGTTGAGTTGTGAGAGACAATCCCTCCAGTCTGAACAATGTATGCCTTCAACTTCCAGGTGTGGGGTGTCCGGCGCATGCTGCTGCATTTTTACGATCATGTTTCATCCACTCATCGGATGCAGAATGGGTGAGTTCATCCTTTACATACATCTGTTGACAAATGAAAACAAAACCCTTGTTTAGTCAATTTTCTGACGCATTAGGCGCCACGTGTAAGGCTGAGAACTCCCCAAAACACAAACAGCAGGCATTTTTCCACCAAACACAATCATAAATCTAAAGTAACGTGCTCTGAAAATTAGCAGTCAGTGAATATAACTCTGCTTAATTGAAAAGGCCCGGTGTATTTTTGCAAAAACATTTAAATCAGGTGCGTGGTTGTATGGAAAATAACTTGTCGGCCCATTTTCCACAAAAATAACTGGAACTAAGGTGACATATAGTGTTTGTTGATGTTATCGTTGCAGGGTAAATCAGGCCTGTTTAGTCAAAAAACACTGCTTCCATCAATTATTACAAAGTGGAACTTTTTCCCCAGCTAACATTCCCTTCCTTTTGCAATGAGGGGAAAAAAAACAGTAAGCAAAGATATTTCCTGTTCCGTACATGCAAATATGAAGGTTCACATTGTGCTGTGCTGTGATGAGAAAAAAAAATTGAATTTTCTGCCGGGATTTCCAGAAAGATGAGTATCTTAACACACCCTGATTGAAATCAATCAGCTGTGAGCATGCACTTGCAGTAGTTTCAGTGTGAGACTGTTAGCACACCTCTATTTTTTAATTCTCTTGTGTTATGTGATAGTGAAAGATGGAGTAATACAACTTCATGTGAAGTCAAGCTTTAAACTTGCTCAGAAAAAACTCAAATCAAAAACTCAGTCGTCGGTCAGCCTCAGTGCTGTTTTTACAATCGTGGATCCCTTTATTTTGTAGCATGTTTTTGTAACTAACACTGAATGAAACCGTTTTTCATGAATGAGCACTTTTAACACTCAGACAGAATATCATTCTTAAAATCTATTTATGTTTTCAATCTACTGTGGTGTGCTCTCAGGGATATATTAAAACTATAGCTTTCACATGTCAGATAAAAAAGGCTTCCAGGAGTCAACATGTTGGATATAGAAAACTAAGTTAAAAGTCAAGAGATATTCAGAGAGAGAGGGCATGAATTACTGCAGTCAGGAGGCTGAACGCTCTTGAAATCCTTTTACAAAATCTACTTGACAGGGAGGGGGCAGGAACCGCAAGGGGCCGCATTTGAAGGGCTTTTTACAAGTGCTGAGATGGCTCAGCTAGCTGAGGTGCACACCAGACAAAATGATACAGTTTAAAGTAAAGAGCCTCACCATCCTCTTCAGGGCACCATTAAGTCAGAGCAATGTGTCTGTAAAAATCTAAATCACCATGAAGCAGACATTTTAGCCATAAATCAAACCAAGAATCTTGAAACGACCAAGTAATCATAAAAATGTCACACTTTAATTGGAAACACGTTCTATTTATAACTATATGCTTTTTAATAAACGCTGCTAAACTTTAGAAATAGTCTTCTCTTGAATTCAGATCCCAGTTTCCTTTCAGTCAATGGGAGTTATTGTAAAAACAGAACGACATTTATCTTTAAGTTTGGAAATAGCACAAACAAACACAGTTCAAGAATTAAAACTGATTTTTAACATTTGAACTCCAAAGATGAGGCCTTCTGAGTATGACTATGTTTGTTTGACTATAGATAATATGCTTCCACATGCCTGGTAATCATGATTTCTACCATCATTTAATAGAAGTTTCTCCAATTACGTGCTTTCTTGTTAGCAGACGATGGCACCAAATTACTGGCGATTAAAGCTCCTGTGAGGAACATTCAGTTTGTGGAAGTTTTGGCGCCCTCTGTGGACAAAATGGTACTTCTTAGCTCTGTTGTTTTGTCCTCAGAATATTGAATGGGTGCTTTATTTGGAGAAAATCTCATTGTGCTGTCACTCCACTGTCACACTAATCTGTGAAAAATCAGTGAAAACTGTTAAAAAAAAAAAAAAAAGGCTGTCTCCTCTTGGTCTGACACCTGTGCCCCTGCAGTGATTCCAAATAGGCTGCATAATATACCTCAAATTAATCAATGTTCCAGTGTCAACATTTGGAATAAACCTTTTGCAAAAATATTCATTTATGTTGGAAAATTATGAATATATATAATCAGTATTTTCTACCCTAAGTAATGTTGATTTACCTGATATCAACATGGGTATCATGCTTCTGTACAGTTGTGATGCAGTCAAATGAAGCTGTAACCACCTCAGATGAATTTGTGATGGAAAAACTATTTTTTTAATGCAACTTGGATTCAGGCGAAAAGTTGCAAAAACAGGCAATGTGTGCAACATGAAGAGCAGCAGATACCTATTAACTATTAATAATGACAGTTCAGATGCAGTTCAGCTAGTAGTAGTTTTGATTATAATAAGAAATATTGTAGTAGAAATAACTAATCCTGTCCATGATGGTCTATTTTTCTTTTGTGGTTTCCTGAAAAGTATCAGGATTAATTCCAGTCTTATTCAGAACCAGTTAAAAACTTCTCACCTGAGCTTTAAGTGTTAGATTGATAAGCCTTCAGGAAGTTCTTAACAGCAAAGTGGATTATCCCCCTTACTACCATCACAACAAAACATGAATATCAAAACAGCTGAAAGGAAATACACAAACATATCATCCGATGGTGTTGATTCAGGTTCTTGTTATCACACTTCTAACTTCCTGTATAAACTTGGTTGCAGAAATGATGCTATACCACGTAACTTTTTACCAACACTGGTCAAACTGGACAGTAGGGCCCGACCGATTTATCGGTGAGCTGATTAAATTGGCCAGTTTTCGCCCGTTTGAGACTAATCTGTAATCGGCCAAAACTCGCCGATTGTCGCCAATATTTTCAGAAATAAAATGCGAAGAATAAGATTCGGTTTCACTTCGAAATGTTCCGCCATTTGAAAAGTTCACGACTTATCCTGTAGATGGCGCAGTGACCTCATGACAATCTTCATCCATTAACTACCTCACAGCACAGCAGAGTGACGGATCTGAAGCAGGCAGCTCAGGGACGCACAGAGGAGAGTGGTCCGCCTCAACGGTAAATAAACCAGTTTGTGAATTACACAATAAGTCAACAAGTTTCAGTTCAACCCACTTCACAATGTTCCCCGCTGTGCTGGTCTCTGTCACGCCGAGTTAACGGTGAAGCACCATGTAATATGCAAGCTAAAGTTAGAGTTAGCCATCTGCTATTAGCCTTGCTACACTGTTAGCTGTGCCAGTAGCGGTAGAATAAACAACAGTACACATTAGTGATGGAGCTACTTCTCTTACTGAGGCAGCTGCATGTCTCCAGATGAGACCAGACCTACAGTATATAGTATACTGTAGATATCTAAAAATCAGCCGATTAATCGCTAATCAGATTTTTTTCCCCCGTTGGCCCCAAAAAATCCATATCGGTTGGGCCCTACTGGACAGGTGTTGTTTTCTAAGAATACGGTTTAAAAATATTCTCACATGGGATCCTGATGTTTAATCAACGATAGCGGGCGCCATTCCTCATGAACACTTTATCTGGACGAGCAGATTTGTTCCTTCAACAGTCAATAAACCTCCAAGTACAAATGAGATCTCTCAGCTGTTTGTGTACGTTGAAGAATGACTGACAGCAAGAGGGGAGCTAATTCATTTCCTTGACCATCTGCTAAGTCACCACTGAAATGAAAAACTCGGCAGCTCTTTCCCAAAACATCTGCAGACAAACATCTGTTAGTCCACTGTACTTTTCAATGCTTCCAAAATTTAGATGCGGGGAAAGACGCAGGATGGCTAAAGCATTCGTTTATGTCATTACATCAGATTTAATGGGCAGCAAATAGCTTAGCTGAGTGTCACACAAGTTAAGATTTCTTTAACAACGTCAAACTATGATTAAATTTGAGCCTCTGTAGTGGAAAAAGGATGTACAAAGAGGCACCAGAGTCCCTTGTGTTGAGCGCCCAGAGTGTATCCAATGGCTTTGAACCCTACATGACATGTTAGAGAGAACTCACATAGGAATAGAAAGCCATAAGACACAGCTGTGGTTAGACTTAGAAGATAATAACACAAAATCCGTACCGAAAGCAGTTGGAGAAATCATGCAGTTAGGGCTGAAAGCTTGACAACAAAGAGGAAACAACAGGGGCAGGTAGCAGGGAGCATTCAGGATTTCAAACTCACATCCGCATGAATAATTAAGCAAAGAAACTGCAAGCATTCATCTGAGGCCGGGGGGAATAAAGTGAAACTGTCTTGCGAGACTTTCGACAGAAAGAATGATATTTTTCACAGCACAAACTCAAATAAATTGACCCCTACACGACTCATGAATCATACAGTGATATTCTTCAAGCCACTCGGTTCCTCATGGGGGGTTTACGGTGTAATCTTTGATTAAAAATGCAGTTTCAAATCAAAGTCTACAGGGAAGAGGTGCAACATTAATCAAAAGGATTTTGTCTCTGAATTCAAAACAGATTACGTAAAGTCTTTCTATATTCTGTAGCGGCCCTCTGCTTGACTTCTTCAAGCACAAAGGAGATCATTACCTCAGCATTTTAATTCAACCACCAGGCACAGAGGGCTTAGCAGTTTTTCATAACGACCAAACAGATTTTTGCAGACACAAAGCTTTAGCGTTGCCATGCATTTCTGTCTTTAATCAAAGCCACCGTGCTGATGAGTCGAGCGTTATTTATGCTCAGAAGCACGAATAGTATGCGTGATTATTTTTCTCTGTATGCTTCAAGTTTAAAGACATGTAATTGCTATAAGGTTTTTATCATGCTTCTAAACTCGTACTGTACTTTAGTCAACTGTGGGAATCTTTCAACTTCGACTTGACTTCACTAAACTGTATTTAAAAAGTGCTTTGGACTATTTTCAACCTCTCACAGAGAAGAGACGGAGCACTCCAGCTCTGTAGGCCAAATCTGCTCACACAGATGTCTGCTCAGAAAAACAGTAGCCTTTATAAAAACATGAAAAAATCCAGTGGAAAGGGAGGAAACGGCTACTATAGTAGACAGAGGAGGCATTTGTTGACATTGTATCAAGTGCAATGCTGAGGTATTTGAGGCACAGAGGGGCCAGGTATTTGTCAGTCACTGTTTCTTGTGCTTTTGCTGTCTCCAACTCAAACAACAAAAGCCCCATTGAGACAGCCTCATTTTTTTTCCCCCCTCTGAAAAAGCACACAAAGCTTCCTGTACTAGGCTGCAACTGTCCACCATGGGAGAATCACTTTTTAGCTGTCTTTTCAACCCACCTGTTTCCAGCTTTTTTCAGTCGTAGAAAAGAGTCAAAACCTTTATTTTTTATTTTTTGCTTTAAAAATCCAAAGATGTCAAACTCTGACTCTGTTAACTCTGTATTCGAGATAGAAACACAGCTGGATTTTTACTCCTCAGCCTCCCCAGTCATGAAACTGTTTACACACTGAGATTGATCTCCTCTTGGCCTTTACATATGCTGCAAATTCACCTGACCTCTGGCAGAGAATCTCACCCACTGATCGAGGAGGGGAAAGTGTTTACTCAATCAGCATTTCCCAGGTTTGAAAAAAAAAAAGACCACTGCCACAGGGCTCCTGGGAGCCGGGGCTCATGCATGTCTCAGCATAAATTAGTAAAAGAAAAAAGAAAGCTCCTGTGTCGGACTGCCCAGACAAGAAGGTGAATCTCAGCCACAGGGCCACATCAGCTTTAACAGCTCCTCTACTGGGAGCCAATTTAAAGCATCAACATGAGCCGTTTGTTTCTAAAAGCTTGAGATTTCTCCGATTAATATCCACTTTAATGCGAATTTTCTCCTATTAGTAATCGAGACAAAACTATAAAGATTCAGCATCAAATGTGACATATAAACGGGGATTTTGGATGCAGAGATGAAGATTAAGATCAAGTAGTGGCTTCTGATTTCTAATGGTATGTAAGGCTCCAATTTCAGTGAATGAAACACACACCTTTTTAAAGACTAGACAACCAAAACACCACATACAGCACATGAAAGCCCCCAGAGCATCAGTGAAGCCTGCTCTCTGTCATTCCCAATGAAAACAAACAGCAATTTTTCAACAGCAGCCCCCCACCCACACTTCTGAAAGTAACAGTGACGTGCATTTAGTGCCGGTCACATTCTCCCACTATAAATCTGACTCTTACCTCCGTCTCCCTCTCTTGCTTCCCTGGCTGGATCGAGTATGGCATCCCCTCAGCCTGATACTGTATGGAGAGACAATGGGCAGAGTGTTGGGGGGGAGGAGGAGTTACTATGTGAGCAGGAGAGAGAGTGAAAGTGGAGGGAGTAAAAGCAGAATGAAAACTGAAAGAGGGAGAGAGAGAGAGTTAGGAGGGAGAAAGAGAAGCTCAGTGGGGAGATCACTCTCTCACAATATTCTCAAACCTCGAATCTGACGAAACGTTACATGAATGACAATTCCTGAACGCCCCCTATCCCCCCCCTCCCCTCCTTCCTCTTTGCGATGTCAGAGAAAACAGCAAGCAGAGAAATCTCTCTTCACGTGGGGAGTGTAAGGGAAAAACAAGAGACTGTGAGAGAATGGGTCCTGGTTTTTCAAACAAGTCCCTTTTCTTTGGCTTTCTTTGAATGAGTTCTTAAGATTCCAAGTTGGCAGAGTGCCCATGGGTCCTGGATGGAAAAGGATAAAAGAAGGGGCTGAGGTAGGGGGGCTGACTATTGTGTTTGTTCCCTTCCTTTTAGTCCTGGCACTCTAGTTGATCTTTGCAGCCAGTTGCTGAATATTCCACTCACTTATTCCCCCATTGTAAACACAAGCCAAGATCTCGAATTCATCTTCTGTCTGGACTGATTCTTATTTCATCACCTTCAGATTTATCACTCGAATCATCCTGTGTGTAGATTTTTTTTAAATTTCACTCAAGGATAGGACCAAAAATCACCAAATGAGCAATGTCTCAGTCAGTCAGCAGTGATCTGAAGATCCTGGAGTCTTTTTCGTCTTTGTTTGGGCCTCTTTTTTCTCTCTCTCTTCTTTGTCCCCTTAACAGTCCATCACTCGTGAAGGGAGAATGCTGTTTTGCCTGGTGAATCTGGGATGAAGACAGCAGGTGCTGTTGCCCCTTTCTGAGCCACATTCACTCTCTACTCCCCCCCCCCTCCCCTTCATCCGTTTCCTCTACTCTCCTCCCTCCTCCTCCTCACTCCCCCCCTGTGTCTCTGAAAGGAGGGGGAGAATGAGCTACTGTATAATGAAGCACAACAAGAGAAAAAATGCCGTTTTTAATGGGTGACGTCACAGAATCCGCCTAATGAGGGTGACTATGTAAAGCGTGTAAGGGATTAACACAACTGTATTTCTTGTCAGTCACCGCCGCTGCTTGTGCTGCATCAGTGCCGCAAGAGAAACCCTGTTTTTACTCCCAGTCTACCCCTCCTCCTCCTCCTCCTCCTCCACCTCCTTTCTCACAAGCCCTCTCCTACCCTCTCTCTCTCTCTCTCTCTCTCTCTCTCTCTGTCTTCCTCTTGCTTCCCCTCAAATAAACACACAGGCTTGCTTCATTACTATTCACCAGGTTTCACCGAGACACGCATCATTGCTCGGCTCCCTACAACTGTGTCGAGAGGAGGCAGGGAGGGGGAGAAGAGAAGGAGGAGAGGGAGAAGGATAAGAAGAGGGGGGAAAAAAGCAAAAGATGTTTTATGATAGAGAAGAATAAATCACTGCTGTGTTTTCTGTGTCCGGATGCGTGTAGACACATATTAGCAGACAGCTGCATGCATGAGATGCTCTCTTTCTTCTTCCTCTGACAGAAAAATCTTCAGAGGGGGAACAAAGCTGGTTTCAGTCCTGAGCGCAGAGATCTGTTTTCCTTTGTGGGGATTTTGAATTCATCACTTGCCTTTCATTAAATGCGCTGAGGGTTGTTCTCTCTATCACAGCATTGAAATTATTATCTGTGCTGATACACTGACAGAGCATTTCATCCATGGAAAAGGGCACAGGGTTTGATTTCTATTCCTGTGTTGGCTCAGTCTAAGCCCCCTAACTCTCCAACACAATAACTTGACTGCACCGTGGATCTCATTCTCTGGTATACTGCTTTTAATTTAAAACTTGGATTACAATTATCCAGGGACAACAGTGAAGCTGAAGTTTTTCTCACAACTTATGAAATCATACAGAGTCAATTACATGGTTGGAGTAAAGATATTAATTTCATTAGCCATGTACCTGCATGATATTCAATTTAACATTCATTCATTTAAACCTTTATTAGACTTCATTTAAGTTTCAATAATGTGACGATATAAGGAAGTCCACATCTGAATCAAACTAAGAGAAGGTAAACTTCTTAAAAATTTCCCCATAAATAAATAAAGAACGCTTGAATGATTTACTAGAGCCAAAGGATAAATAAAGTAAAGTTTATTTCTTAAGTCTGACTGATCACAGATTTACTGATGCTTTAAACTCCATCATTCTCAGTTTTTCCGTTTATTTAAATGACGTCTAGCAGTTCTTTGTAGTATCTTGATTTGTAAAACAAATTAACACAGCTAAATAAATGTACTTAAATTGTCTTTTAGATTAAATAGTCAAATAAATACTCCACACTTTCACCTGTGGAGTATTTATTTGTATTTACCTTCACCTCCACAGCTTTAATGTTACTATTTGAGTTGTTTATAGTGTAAATACTTCTATATTATCTCTATATTTTTACTTATTATTTATCTCCTCTTTTTACTGTATTTGAACTGAACTACTGTGACAAAAGCAATTTCCCCTTGAGGATTTTTAAAGTATTTCTGATTTTGAATGATATGATACTATTGTTTCACAAATAAGAGACAGCTTCTGTGAAATACAGAACACACAATATTAGCTGGCGCAGCCATAGAGACATCACTGGCCTAGCAGTCGATGCATGTGCCCCACATACAGACCCAAGAGGTCGTCCCGGTTGTGCCTCCAGCACTCCCTGCTCTCTCCACCTGCTCTGCTCACTGTCACGTCCTCTCCAAATTAAGGCAAAAATGCCCAAACACCAGACTCTAACACAACAAAACTATAGCTAAGATTTTATACGTTGGATTATATGTATTTTGTGAAGGTTTGGAAGATGTAGATCTTTGTGTAAATATAATACAAAGGCATGTGGTTATAGATAAGTCACTCTAAAAATGATTTGTTAGAAATAATATGGCATAAATTAGGAGTATAAATTAATTAGTCAATGTGACAGGGATCAACAGATACAGTATCGCCCCATTCATCTAGACTACAGAGTGGAATTGGCTGACAGAGTCTATTATCTTCAGAGGCCTCCAGATGTGATCGGCTGCTGTGCTGTAAAGAATCCTGGGTGGGATTTCCTGATTGAAGTCTTTATGTGCTCCACTGAGCTTAAACCTCTATTCACATGATATTAAATCCGAGACTGTTGGTGAAAAAGCTCTTAGATTCAGTTTGAAACTCAAGCGACACTCAAAAGGACCAATAGTACGCACAGTGAAATCCAAGAACAGTGTGCTTCGTTTCGGAAAGGACTGAAGTTGGTCTTGAAGTAAACTTTGAGTAACTGTCGCGCTTTTTCACTCAAAATGGGAGGATCGAAAACAGTCTCAGTTTGCAGAATAATAACTGTGTCACTAATGGAAAGTTGAAGATATTTGGAAACTTTTTTTTAAAGAATTATACACAAAACTACATATTTCTAACCACTTTAACCAAGCCTAAAACCATGCGCATCTTAACAACTTACAATAATACATCAAAGTAATGTGTCTTGGCTAAAAAACATAAATCAAAATGATCTCAAGAGCGAATTGATTCCCATCAAAGAGCTCCAAGTCTTCGCTCGCTCAGAGTCGAAAAGAATAGTCATGTTTTACCCTGCAGACATGTCTGTTTGCATGCCACATATCCTTGGCTCTATTTTGGGCCTGAGGAGAAGAAGCGTGGGAGGGGAGGCAGGGGGGGGAACTGAAGGCCATTTCCAACTGGGACTACAGGGACTGACTGACTGACTAAAGAAATGTGGATAGTTGACATCTAAATTTGTTTAATCCAAGAGGGGCCTGTCTTGTGGCTGTTGGAGCGGATCTCCTCCAGTATGTTGACACAGAATCCTGCGTATTCTTGTGTTAGTTTACAAGCATCAAAACGCTCATATATTATAACTTTCTTGTCTTTAAAGAGATACTATCATTCATTCAATCAATGTTATGAAATATATCCTCTCTGTTGATATCTGATATTTATCTTGAGGTGACTGTTGACACATTCCGAATAGGGATAGGGATCATTAGTTTTTATTGGTACTGATGGCATTATCAAGACTTCTAAATGATTCAAGTCCTTATTGATACAGCTTTTCTATGATTGCTTACCTTCAGACTTTTGTATTAATGTAGATTTTTTTTGTGCCAAAAAACATTTTGTCTTTTTCTGGACCTGGCATTTGAACGCATCATTATAATGTTTTATTTACTTCACGAATTCTTGTTTTGGCGACCCAACCTTTAACACCACATGATATAAGCGTATATTACCTCGGTTAGTTAGTTAGCTAACTTAAGCTAATTTGCGACAGTCTATTAATATGCATGCAACACTGATTTAATTAACACAACATGACTCTACTCTAACTATGATGATACTTTCACGAGACTTTCAAGACTTAATGGCACACTCTATACGCTCAGACATGATTGATTTAAAAAAAATACTACGCTCGATATGGACCCGGTTATCGACTCCTAATATCCAAGGTGGCAGATAGTAAGCAGTGTTTCCTGTATTTGTTTTGATTTTTGATACTGTTGACCACACCTTACTTAAATGTCTAGATGCTATTGGGTTTCTGGAGTGGACATATACTTGGGTGGTTTGCTAACTATCTCACTCGAAGAACATGGGTAGTTCAAGAAGGTAGTGCCTTAGAGATGCAAATCCACAAGTGGGTTACTACGAGGATCAGTCCTGGGCCCACTTCTATTTACTTTTAGTGGCCTTTCGCTATATGGACATGTCAAGCTTTTCTTTATATGTAAAAAAGAAGTAAGTGGAGTTCACATTTTTGCCTGTTCCTGATTATGGTGATGTGTCGTACAAAGGCATTCAAGCCACGCCGGCTTGGTCACTGTTAATCATATTTATGAAGCCATTCTGGGCAAAATACTGAAAGTTATTGTCATTCTGTTGAAACATCATGTTGCTGCCACTCTTGGCGAGGCCTGTCCTGACAAAGAGATCTCAGATATCAATGGGACTAACCTGGCTAAATTAAAGGTCAAATATAGATTAATACGTGTATTCACAACACTGTCACGCAATACAGAAGCCTATAATGCAAAAAAAAGTTTTAGTAGTTTCTAGAAAACTTAAATGGAGCTTATGCAAGTTTTTTGGCTCAACAATGAAAGAAAAACACATTTTAGAGAGAAGCTATTCAGTTGGGAGGAAACTGGTCTGTTTTGATTACAGCAATCATTTAAATAAGTTGTTTAGAATTTTGCAAAGTCATTTGCTAAAATGTGTTTAAATATCTGCTAATGGTAACTGGGAATGAGATGTTTTTCCAAATTTGCACGAGTAAATAGAGAGTTTTACATAATGTTTTGACAACATGATCTTTCATTGTGGAATTGAGCCAAAGACTCTTAGAATAAAAGTTTCAACACAACTCTGGACTCATAAAAAATACATTCATGTAAGTTACTCGTCTTCTATTATGCATGGCAAGGTGATCTCGATTCTCATTAAACACATCACGAACTTTAGCACAGCCATTAAAACGAGCAGATGAGGTTAGAGAAGAGCAGGGAGAAAAAAAATAAATCCATAAGATTATGATTCCTGTCACATTGTCCTGGCTCTGCCTCAAGCCTCTGATTGAGAGTTGGCGAAATGTCAGCCGATGGAGATGAGACCAGAGAGGAGAGAATCAAAGCTTTCTTTGTCCACTTTAAACCCGGCTACTGATGTTTTGTGTCTTTATGTGGCTGCCATCAGAAAACCATGTGTCACACCGATAAAGAGACAGAAAGAGAAAGCAACAATGATGATCAAATAACGTGAAAGAGACTCAGAATTTTTGCTTTTCTTTATTATATTCATGTTTACCTCACAGAGATTTATGTATGAGGTATGTTTCTTTTTCAATCAGTCAAGACTGGGTTTGGACAGTATGTTTAAATGATTACGTGCTGTACACATGCCAAAAGATTCACACATTGATACGTGATATTAGGAATAAAACACACAGTGAGGGACTCAATTCAAATATAGACTTTAATATGAGGTTATAGGGCCAGATAGATAAGACTCAAGGAAAGAACCAAATCAAATAAAATAGACAGATGAAATACAATAGATGAAATGATAGCCAAACCAAAAAATCCAATAATAATTTATTATTAGACAAATAAATTGATAGAAATTATTTAAAGACTAGACTTAAATAGTCAAATTAATTAAAAATATTAGACTTGAGGACGCCTGGGCTGAAATGATTAACCACAATATATGATCAGGCAGATGAAATCTCAATTAGTTATCAGACTAAAATGCTTGAATGTGATGAATTATTCAACAGAAATATCAAAGTAGGCAAATATAACTGATCTTTGCCTTCAGTTGTTGATGAATTCAATACTTGCACACCCTCTAGTGTTGAAACTGTGTGTGGTAATCCCATCTCTCTATTCCTGGGACTTTTTCAGTGTTTTTACTGTGATATTCCATCCCATACCTGATCCTGATTGGAAGAACCGTTAGTGGTTTGGAGTTTTGATCAGAGAGATGGTTCTTGATGAGCCAAATAATCTGAATCAGTAAAGAAAGCCTAGATTCCTATGGATATGATCCACACTGAGGTTGTTTAACTGAGAAAGAATAAGGGTCCTGATCCAGATCTTACATGGTAAGATGGATCACAAACAACTTGAGCAAGATCAGATGGCCTTTGTGGGGACTCTCTCTGTTGCAGCAAGAGAGGGGAAGAGGAGACTCTAAACAGGCTGTAACATTATTCATGTTGACTGCTTTATTTAGACAGAGTGAACTGATTAACCGTGATCAACGCCAAGTTTTAGCTCCACACGGCCTGATCAATGAGCTGTTGATGTGCTTAACATGCTTTGATTTCGACAAGCAAATGAATTCACCCAATAGAATTTTGCTCGTGAATGAAATTGGACCCTTAAGTTTGGGAAAAGCTGATCTAGGCAAACGCTTTCTATTTTAAAAGTGAAAAAAGTAAATCCAAAAGTCCTGGACCAGGTGTTAAATCGATCTCTTTATTTCCCCCATACATAACCAGATACTGATGTCCTACTTCAGTGACCAGGAGTTACTGTTGATCTTTAACGGCTGCCTCTCACACCTCTAAGAGCAAGCTGGTTGACAATTACCAAAGGAAATCTTCTTCTGTTGCTATATCTCTAAAAGAGGAAGAGGATGTTAATGAATGCCTTTTGTATAAACACACATTTTTCACAGGGCTTAGTACCTGAACAGCATCTCCACTTTGCAGGGCATGTTAGCAAATCAGTTACACCGTTTGTAAGCTTGCGTGCGATATCATTGTGTAGACAGACTCAGTCTCAGGACATGGCTTCAAACACTCTGCACACTGAAACCAGAAGAGGCAGAAGCATATAATTAAAGAATCACACAACTACCATATAAATAGATTATCAATATATGCACAAAAAAGGAAATGAGTCACATAAGGTTGCAGCTTTTTATATAATTCGGAAGTTGAAAGCTGTCTAAACTCACTGAGGGTTAATAATAATCCTGAAGAGGTGATTTTTCTTTTTTTGTTTCCTTATTTAAGCTTACCGGACGTCCATATTTGGCCACAACCTCATCAGTCTTTCCTTTTGTAATCATTGAAAGGATTAGGTACTTAGATTTACTTGTATTTATACTACTAGTGTTCAAGTAATACAACACTACTATTCACTCCTCTTGAAGAAAGTTCCAATTATTTTTATCCAAAGAGTACAGAAGAGCCAGAATCTGCCGCCATGGAAGAGTCTGTTCTCATATGGGTCAAGCTAAACATTGTAGGGTTATATTCCTAGTCGTCTTCCTGAACTTCAGATTGACCTACACACAGCTGCAGGCAGGAAAAGATATTTAAGAAATGTAAGTGAAGTTGAGGAGAGCAAAAACTAAAATAAAATGGAATAAATTGAAATGATCTGTTAGCTGTAAGTGTACAGTACTGAGTGTCATCTGCCCCTTTGTTTGCCAGCGTGCTAATAATTGTTGCAAGTAGATGTAGAGACAATGAAGTCAACTGTTCGTTGGTGGACTACTGCTTTAAAACATTTTTTAGCATTTTTCTTCAGTTGAAAGTAAACAAAAATAATAAAAGTGAATCATGTCTGTATGAATTTTGCAGCTGGCCTTCCACATACTCATTTTTTATTTGTTTTGTTGTCTATCTAACACTGTAAAACTGTGATTAGTTTTTGAGTCAGTTGTTTCATAAAATCATTTGAGGTATCCACATTTTTCTCACTAATCTTTTACTAACTTATTCCCTCAGGATGTATTCAAGTGCCAATTTTGAACCATTTTATACACAGAAATTTCACTTGAAGTGTGGCAGTCATCAACAGGAAAATTACCTGACAAAGACCAGTGGGTTAGGACTTTGTGATTTTGTGGCATTGAGTAGCAAGTGTGTAGGTTTACTTTTCTTCCTACCAAGTCCCAGAGTAAGACACCTGCATAGAACACCATTGAAACTTATGGGGGTGTCCAAAGTTTGTGGGCACTGGTCATAAAATCAAGTGTTTGACAAACTAAGAAAAAATCAATATCCTTAATACATTCAAATCTCATTGAAACCATGTAGGCCGGAGCAGAATGAGCATGCCAATCCATTCAGTGTATTTGTGAGCAGTTATAGGATAAATAAACCCTCAATAGTTGCCAACAAAAGTTTTGAATAGTTAGCAACATTAAAAAGCTTCTTGGTGTACCTGGAGGGATTGATGTACATCATCTGCATACAGAATCAATCTGTACCAAATCTCACAACAGTCTGCTCTTGGATGTTCGAATAAAAACCAAAATCATCAGAAACTTGTTAGAATCAGTTCAATTCATCGTCTTTGGACCTTGAATGTGTATAGAAAAAGACACAGCAATCCATCTTGTAGTTTTCGAGACATCTTTGGTATCTCTTGGATGGAAATTAAAACATGAATAGAAATAATGTGGCAAAGCTTAGGGTCAAATACTAGGTACATAAAATGATTCAGTGAAGGGGTTTAAAATGGAAACAAGATTACGGGTCTCAAAGATACGGCAGCCTACCTATGAGTAAACCTTGAGTCACTTTTTTCCAGATAGGCTCGGAAGTACCATGACAAATGTACTCTTTTTTTTTCTGGGAGCATTTCAACACAGTTCTTCACACTGATAATCATTGACACAATTCAAATGGTCTTATTATTGTTGGAAGGATCTCCACTTCACACATTAACTCAAGAGGACATCCTTTTGAGTTAGGCAATCCCAGGAGGAGGAGGGAGCCAAAAGCTTTAAAAGAGATCATAAAAACTCAGATCTACCGCAGTAAGCACCCACAAAACTAGAATATCATATCATCGGTTAAAGAAAATCGGTAGCTTGCTTCTTTAAGGTGAATTTATCTTCATTTTGGCCAAGATGTTTGTGGATGAGCGGGTCCTTACTTTGTTTAAAAGGAACGCCCATCACACACTGACCTACTGGAGCGTTTTCTTCAGCTTCGGACTCTGCATCGCTTTCCTTGGACCTACAATTTGCGACTTGCAAAGTCAAACAAACTCAACGATCGATCAGATAACCTGGGTGTTCTTCTCCCAGCAGTTCTGCTTGTTGATCGGCAGCTCTATCGGTGGAGTTTTCAAAAGGACGTAAGTCTCACGACCCACCTGACCTATTCAGCGCCATGCATATTTAAGAATGTTTTACCATTATTGTGATTTTTTTTCTGTCTTAAAGGTTGCTCAGTGCTTTGTCCGCCTTATTTGTCTCTGCCTTGATCATCTCTGTAATATTTGCCATCATCCCGCTGTGCAATAATGTCCTCCTGCTTGCCGTTGCCATGGCTGTGTCTGGGTTGGCAATGGGAATTATTGACACGATTGCCAACATCCAGCTGGTGACCATTTATCAGAAGGACTCAGCTGTCTTCTTACAGGTGAAAAAAAGCATTTTGTGCATCTAGAGAGTGCTTGAAGGGTGCTTGAGAGGTGTTAAAAGTGTTTTTTTATGAAATGTATTTTAGAATAACTCAGTAACGGCCTTATTCATGGGCCTTTAAAAAAAGTAAAACCACAGTAATTTATTTCTCTGGCCTTTTTATTCTTCTCTTTTTGCAGGCTCTTCATTTTTTCATTGGCTTCGGAGCCCTGGTGAGCCCTCTGATTGCAGATCCTTTCCTCTCAGAGGGCGGCTGCGGGAACAGCACAGGGAACGGGAGCCAGATCATGCATCATGTCAGGTTCATGCTGAGACACACTCCAATCCTGGAGCCCAACATAACTCAAAGCCACCCAGTCCATGCAGGAGAGGAAGAGGAGTCCAGTGTGCACTATGCTTTCTGGATCATGGCGCTTATTAATGTGAGAAACAAAGCGATTCAGCTGAAGAGCAAAAGTAGGGGTTGCATATCTTGTTTTTTACAAATCTTGGTGTCATGCGTGCGCCCGTAGATTCCTGTGCCTTTGGCCGTCCTGTTCCTGATGTACCGAGAGCAGCTGATCCCGTGCTGCCCAAGCGGTACTCCTCGACTGCTGGACAAAGATGAACTGGCAATGGAGCACCAGCAGGGGGCAGAAAGCACAGAGGAGGAGCAGAAAGAGCATGAAGCAGGAGGTAAAGAAAAGGGAGAGAGTTCTAATAATAATGATAAATTTTATTTATAACGCGCTTCTACAGGTGCTCAAAGAAGCCTTACAAAGAAAAAGAAGAAATAAAATAAAAAAACACAATTAAAAATACAGAAAATTTAGAGAATCGTTAATAATAACGATGTAAAAGGTTAAAAAAGACACAATATGAGAAGACAATAAAAGAACAGTTCACAGTTTAAAAGCCAATTAAAAAGGTGTGTCTTTAGGAGTGATTTAAAAGTGTGGGGGTCAGTACAGTCTTGGGGAAACAAGTTAGGAAACACTCAATTTAGATGGATAATGCACACTTACTTCAGAGGAGTTGTGGTTTGGTTAATGAGGATAATATGTTACATATAAAAAGTGTTAAACATATAATTTAATCAGGATTTAAAGAGGTCACAGCAGTGGACAATGTATCAGCAACTATAGCAGGCAGTCTCTGTTTTAAGATCCTATCTAAAAACAGTAGAAGCAGTGAGTCAGTGTTTTTATTAACATCACCATGACGATGTTTTCACACCACTTTTACAGGTGGATACAGTATTGATGAGAAATAAAGTGTTGGTGTTGTTGGAGTCTTATCTAGTTTCACAACCTCATTTTTGTCTTTTTGGGTGTGTCTCAGGTCACGGGGATATCTTCAGCTGCTGTCGGAATGATAACCTGCGCGGGCTGCCGGTATCCTTCTTTATGATCCATATCCTTGGCGGGCTGGTGCTCTTCATGACCGATGGTATTGTGGTAAGAGGGAGTGCATTGCTTATTCCACATTAAATTTTATGGATGCAGAGAAAAGCTGCTCCACAATAAACACAAAGAAGATCTCAGTGAAGAATCTGCCTCCTCCTCCTCCTCCTTCTTCTCCTCTCAGGGTGCATATGCTGGTTTTGTGTACTACTACGGAGTCGCCCCGCCTATGTCTCTGCCCCCTAAGACCGCAGGTTACCTGGCCAGCATCTTTTGGGCTGCGATCACCGCCGGACGTCTGTTGTCTATTCCTCTCTCGTATCGCTTCCAGCCTGTGAGGCTGCTCATGTTCAACCTGGTGAGACCAATAAAACATTTATAGTGCCATCACATTATGGAAGAGACATATTGATCACGCTCTCTCTCCTTGGTTTTTACAGGCGGGGGCTATTGTTACTGTGTTGATGCTGCTTATTTTCTACACCAGCAGCACCTTTCTGTTTGTGGGGACCTGTTTATGCGGGCTTTTCCTCAGCAGCATATTCCCCTGTATGCTCGCCTACACCGAAGACATCCTTGATTATCAGGGTATAATAAAGTGTTATAGCGTGGTGTAAAAAAAATAAAATAAAACAAAGCAAGGAGAGGAAATAAAACTTACTTTTATTTTCTTTTCTTTGTGCAGGATGTGCAACATCAGTCCTGGTGACAAGTGCAGGGATGGGAGAGATGGTAATGCAGGTTCTGGTCGGCTCAGTAAGTCTGATGAGCATCTTCATTATTCTACAGAACCAGAGTGTGCAGAAGCTGAGAAACAGGCTTATGAATGCAAAAACTTGCCCAGCAGAGATTTACAGTCATGTTCAGAAGTTTAATGCAGCTATCTCATCCCCAGATTATCCACACTGAAGGCAGTTACAGCTTCCTGCTGTGCGGGATGGTAATAGCCTGCCTCGGTTTTATCGTCTTCATTGGTCTCATGCTGTTCCACCGAATGCACAGAAATTACCTCACAGGTATAGCATCAGTCAGCGAACACACGCTCTGATGGAACGTGTTTGTTTTTATTCATTACTAAACCTCGCTGACTCTTATCATCCTCCGTATCCCAACAGGAACCAAGAAGAAGTCGGCCATGGTGGAAGAACCAGCGGGGGAGCAGGATGGGTCGGCTAAAACAGAGCAGAAAGAGAACAGCTGAGGGGGGCAGAAGCTGTGATTTTCTCCTTTACTGGCAACTATAAAGGAGAAGGTATCACAGCAGTTTGACTCCAGAGCCTTACAAATGAATATTATGCTGATATACTTTTGTTGTACTTGAAGTAACATGGTTTTTGCGCTTGCGTAGATGTTGCGCTAAAGTAAAAAGTTACAGTTTTTATTTTAATCATAAACGTTAGATTTCAGTTCTGTTTTATGTGGCACCAGATTTCAAACTTACAAGACGAGATTTAAAATTACCTGTAAAATACGAGAAAGTTTGTTTGTTTAGGTTTAAAGTGAAATCTTGACATTTTTACTTGCTTTCGCTTTTTTTTTGCATTCCCATGAGTCTACATAATACATGCAATGAAATAATAATCTTTAATTTAGAAATTGCATTCAAAATTAAAAGCTAAGAAAAGTATGAATGTGAACAATACATCTGTAACAATTCAAACCTGTGTATTCTTTCCCTGGGGTTTAGCGTTGTTAAACATCCAATGTGGAAGGAAGGACTTTGTACTCAAGGAAATCGTACCTACAAAACCTAAAACAAATGTAAAACAGTCACCCAGTCACTGAACAGTTAACCAGTCAATCTATAACTCCAGCTGTGGGACTGTTGCGACAACAGCGGGAGCTCGCAGAGCTGAAAGTGGGTCTTTCGGTTATAAAACAGAACTGGTTCTTGTTAATGGGTCAGACATGCGCTGGTGGCAAAAAACTCTCAACTCAAGTTTCCAAATCAACACTCAGTCTCTCAGCTTAGGATCCCCTGCTGTCTCTGCATTTCTTTTTCACATAGACCTGGAACACAAGATTTATTAACATGCATGACTGTGGAGCTAGAGAGCTTTTAACCTACTTTTTACTCGACAGGGTCTTGTTCACTCCGTCTGGAGTACAAAACCACTCACTTACTGTACATTATCACCTAAATATTAGCCTGCTTATTAATTAAAATTCACATCAAAATGTAATTTCCCATTAGTCCATTAAATGATGAAACATTGCCAATCTTGCTAGACAGCACCAGAGTTACAAGTTGGTCAAACACATTGTTCATATTTCTATTTCTGCAGACCCAAAATGATCCAGATTATCCTCAATTTATGTTGAAGGCAACATTCCTGTCCTAGTTAGGGTGAGTGACACACTTTCAAACATTTGATATGAAGTGTGTGATCTGGTCAAGTCTCGACCAATCAGAAACAAGTGTTGGACCAGTATTTAGCCTGGTACTGGCGACCTTTTCTTGATCACTTAGAGGACAGGGTTGAGACTCGGACTGTGATGTTGCTGTGTACATGACTGAAAACATCACATACGGCGCTTCAATGGCCCACTGACCAAGTCTGGGACTCCGATAAGCAGAATCAATGGTGTCCTTTGCAGCAGGAGCAGCAGCAGACATCAGACGACGCGCCTTGTCGCTCTGCTCAGCCTCATTCTCAAAGGCAGCTCTCATCTCCTGTTGAATGTCAGCAGATATAAAATATTCAATATCGAGTTAACTCCGTGATTTGTACCTGGGCGAGGTTGCTCTGTATTCTGTCTTTGAGTCAGCGTGGCACAAATAAACCCTGGAGAGATTTGTCTTGTCCAAAACATTTGAGCCAGAACAGCCAAATTTACGATCAGATAAGAAATTAATTAAACCTCGGAGATTAAAAAGGTGCAAACTTACTCCCAGATATGCTCTTAAGAAAATGGAGTAAAAATGATTATCCTCAGAAGGACCTCCTCTGGTGGCCAGATACTCATTCAATCCCATTTCTAAAGAGCCTAATGAGGCTAAAGGAAGTTTAATTGCTAAAGGAAACATTTGTGAAAACCTCATGTGGGAACAGTAAAAATAAAAGCCTATGAAAATTGAAAATCTTGATTGTTTTGTGTTCCAAGTCTGCAGGGGGTTGGAAATGATCTCACTCTGAGATCCAAAACTTCATCCTTCAACAGACAGAAAGATCTTCAGAGTGTTATTATTGCTGAAAAACTTGACATTTCACCTTTGAGGCTCAGTCATCTTGAGGTCCTGTGAAGATTACTCAAATTAGGCCAATGACGTACGGAGAACTAGTCCAGGACAATTATTTGGTAAATGAAATTACCTGCAGCTTTTTATTCAACTCTCTGTTGAATCTTCACATCAATACACAAAAACACAAGGATAGTTTGTCTTCTGCAATCTCCCTATGAGCCTCGACCTGTTAATTCCTCTCTAAGCTAATGTCTATGTGAAAATTAAGCACCTTAAAGACCTACACCAGAGAGAGTGTTTTACTGATGAAATAACATCAAGTTACTTATGGTAGGAGAGAGTGGGGTAAGATGAGCCATTTTTCATATTTCAGATCACTACATCAAGGCAATCATAGTTTTGCCACTAGATGTTGTGCATCCCAGCAAACCAACAGAATGAGTGTAAACATAAATGTCTTGATAATATAGCATGCCAAAAAAAGTGGTCTCCTATGGTCAACTTACCCTGTGTATGGGGTAAGTTGAGCCGTATCCCTACTACCCCCCCCACTCTCCAGGTAATAATGACAGACTAAATTCACTTTCAAGACTGAAAAACTTTTTTTTTTTTTCTAGAAATAAATGTCTAACCCCTTCACTCATGTGCTTCTAACCTTCATAGACTCCATGAATTGATGCCCATCTCCTACATATTTGGTCACATGATCAATTTCTTTTACCATTTCCTAGCAACAGGGGGTGGATCAACTTACCCTTTGGCTCAACTTATCCCACTCCCATCTTTTACATGTAAACACGATCGTCTTCAAATTACTACTATTTCAAAGGTGTGGACAGATTACCATGGTATTAAATTTGAGCCCTGCTAGTTCTTCTTGAGGTTCTTAGTTCTTGGCAAAAGTGCCTGCTTTGTCTATCCAGCTACAGGATGGTAGATGCAAAATAACGGGGATTTTGAACTGCCAGTATTATGCTGCAGTTAGGATGCCTGTTATCAATCCTCTATTTTGCTCCTGCTCCACTGAAGGTGATGGTCTTATTAGAGGGTGGGGTCTGCTTCACCCCTAAAGTCCTGTATTTAAAGGCTTCAGTGGTGGTCTCGATGACCCTCTTCATGTCTCTTTGTTCAGCAGCTCAAAATACGCTTCAAACACTCCACCCCTTTGAATACTTTGAGTTCTAAAATCGGATACGACAATTAACCTGAGACCAGCTGCTGCACACAGAAGAGAAAGTTTGAGAATAAAGCAGCTTCGACTTCTTGTAAACAAATGAAACTTTATCCATGACTAGTCTGTACAAGAAAGCCATCTCACACTCTCTATTCAGGCGCTGGTTCACTCACACTTAATGAAACGAGACACCTGTCAAAAAGGTGTTTATTTAAAAAAGATTGCCTCGGAGAAGGTTATCAAATGTGTTCAATTAAGGCGTGATATACGATTATTTATCTCACTTCTAAGCGCACTCTCTCTGCAGGCAAAGTATCTCCTTGAATGACAGACTCATTTATCTGAGCTCAGTATATTCAGAAGTAAACACAGTCGAAAACAAAAATGAAAATTACTCTTAACACTAGAAAGAAAGTTGTTGAGGAGTTTGTCACAAATGATTTTATTTTATGGATGATGCCTGACTGGCCAAAACTCAACCTAAATAAAGAGTAGCATTATTTAAATGGTTCAATTTATCTATCCTCTGGCGCATTTATATACAGAAAATGAAGAGGTGTCTCTATAAAGAGTTATCCAATTGTCTCCGTTCTGCTGTAGCATAAAACATTAAAAGTCAACCCACATAGCATTTGAAAGACTTAGGCTGTGAAATGATAAATATGTTTGGCAACTCTAATCATGCTGAAAAAGCGATCCTGGTGAGTCATGACGAGGGATCAGAGAACTTATCCAATTATTTAGCTTCTACTTAAAATAACTTTATTTTTGTATTTATGGACAGATAAACAAGCGTCAATGGAAAAGGTTAAGGACCTTGCAAAGTCTTGAGTCGAGCTGATACCATCTGCTTTACCGAAACAAACATATGTGCTAATTAACGACAAAAATAAAAACGAGACCTTAAAAATGTCAGGTTTTGTAACGAAAAAGTTTCGTAGTGGAAAATTTAACAAAGATTGATTAAAGTCCTCATTTTGGTCCTCTGAGTATAATCTCAGATTAGAAAGTCTGGGACCAACTCGCCCCTGTTTTTTTCGACTCAGTTATTGGATGAAGAGGAAAATAAGTCATAAAGAAGGTTTCCAAAACATACTTGTTTGCCTGCGGGTGTTGTTATGCATCTCCCGCCTACTACTTGTTCATCACGCGTGTGTCATTAGCTCAGTTCTGTTTTTTTCTGGGCGGGTTGACCTGAAGGAACTCTTCAGTTCCTTCTTAACACAATCAATTCATATCCCATCTTTTGAGAAAACATTCTGTTAAGATTAAGATTTATTTCACTTTGTTTTAAGATTAAAGTTATGGTCCCCCTTAGCTTTACATCAGTCTCACTAATCCCAAACTTTTTTTTTAACCATTTCCCTCTAAAACAACCGGTTTAGAAAGTGACTGTGGCAAGGAAAAACCTCAGAAACCTTGAGCAGAACCAGACTCGTGTTAGATAGTCATTTGCTTGGACCACATAGGGTTAAGAGAGGGGAAAATAGAGGAACCTACATGATGAGGGAACTCAGGGACTCCCCGGAAAGACTGTGTTTTGTGATTTTTAAGGGATATGATGATTCAAAGTTGATGACACAGACAGATAGAGGATAGAGAAGGAGAGAAAGGAGCTCACTACAAAGCCAAAATAAAGAGGTATAATAATACAAAATACAAGAGCAATCCCTCCCTATCAGATACACTCACCCAAATTCACTCTGTGTCTGTAGGTAGAAATAATGATTCACCTTTATCACACAAGTCATTTGCAAATTCAAATATACAGCTGCTGACAGCACAAACACACACGACAATCAGGATTTTGGATTCAATCAGGAACTAGTTTCAACTTGCCGTCTGAATTTTGGCATCTGACCACTTCAGATAAAACCGCACAGACATGTGAGGAGCTCATGTCTGCTGTTGAGAAATAATAATGAAGTATCATTCTACTGCTGTCAGTCTGCAGAAGTATGGTGCATTAGTTTCATTTCTTTTCAAGCATTAATTTATTTTTCAAAGGAAACGGGTTTTTCCAATTTTCAGTGTTGTAAGGATAAGGAGGCCAAGCCGTTTGGATGTATTTTTGAGTGAAACATGACATTAAAATCCTAAAGGTGTTGATATTTTCTATCACGGCAGTGGCAAGAGCAGGAAGACCATTGTGGATTAATTATAGTGTGCAAAAGGGGACAGAAAAAAACAGGCAATTAAGATAGGAAGAGTAAAGTTTGCACAATGGTTATGATTAAAGTTTGGCATAAAAGATTTCGTAACACTTTTTGGGTTCAGAAACAGGAAGGCTGGTGTAATCAGGCTTTGGCAAACTGCAAACTCTATACCACTTCGTATTTTCTTCTTTCTTTGAGTCCATATTCGATTTTAAAACAAAATATAATCTCTACAGAACTTAAAAAAATGTCAAATCACTCATTTTTCAGCCTCTGCCAGCCTGGTCTTTAGTGCCACCTGCTGTTTTAATATCAGAAGTGTTCCTACAAAGTTTGCCCTGTTGTCTTGCAAAGAGGGACACGAGAAATGTTCGTGCATTTTGGGATCTCAGTTTAATTTTTCCCACACAGACAGAATCTTTTCTCAAGTAAACTTGCACACACTCAGACGTCATATTAACCACCATATTGCACAACCAAATGAGAGGAGGAACAAGAGGAAGCCCCTAAATGTTGCACACTTCTGCTTCACGTTATTCCTTCTCTGTCCAACATGAGGACCTCAAGGATACTGCTTGGCTTCTTCAATGGTAATATCAGCTTTTTAAAGATATTACATTAAAATTTAAACCCAGAAGGAGTGTTTAACTGGTATCATAATGTTGTTTCATCTTGCAGCTCCAGTTCTCTGTCTCCTCTGGCTCACAAAGCATGCAGTGGACTCAGCTGAGTTGACAGCTCCAGGGGAGGTAACAGGACGATACGGAGGATCTGTGACCGTCTCATGTCAGTACGACCGAAAGCTCAGAAACTACACAAAATACTGGTGCAAAGGGCAGGTGTATGAGCGGTGTAGTATTGTAGTGAAGACACCCAGGAGCAGAGACAGTGACCGAATCTCCATCCAGGATGATAAAAAGGCTGGAGTCTTCAATGTAACCATGACCTCTCTCAGTCAGAGTGACGAGGACATGTACTGGTGTGTCATCGCAAGGTTTGGAAGGAACCCCCACGTTGGTGTCCGACTCAAACTGACCAACACAGGTACGAGTCATCAAATGTTAAGGTGATTCTGATTTGATTGCAAAAGCTTGCATAGCTTCTTATTTGTGATTTTAAGAAAACTACACGACGAATGCAATAAAAACAACCGTGTTACCTTCAATTTTTGAGATCTGTTATGGCAAACAGGCAGATTCTGCTGTCATGTTTAACTTCTGTGATAATGGGTTTGCAACACAACATGGTTCTAGTGTTTGTCCACAATTTTCAGGTCAAAACTGTCTGATTTATCAGAATAAATAATTGAATGTTTTTGTTCTTTTCCACAGTATTGATGACCACTACTTCCACCCCTCTGATTCTATATGAAGAAGCAAGGTGAGGATTTATATCCTTAATATTGTCTGCTATAAATCTTAATGAAAACATGGACTAAATGGTTCTAATCTCATTTATGCTTTTTGTTTCAACCAGTTGGTGGATGACTCTGCGCTGGATCCTTATTATTTTAATGCTGTCTTGTGTTTCAGCCACACATATCTTTACATGGAGGATAAAAACTGCAAGAAAAACATGGCCAGGGCAACAATTATGTTATCAAAACTCACAAAACATTGAGTGATTCAAAAGCAAAGTCAAAATAAGCATTCCTTTATTGTATAAAGTATTTTTTATGAATTAAACTGAAAAATAAGCAGAGAAATGTTATTTTCATGTATTAGTCTCGGTATTTAAGTTGATAAATCTAATGTCAGTTCCTTGGCCTGCAGACAAGTATATGTCAAAATTCAAGCAAAAGCCTGTTTTATTCAAAGCTAAATTAGATTCAAACTCTGCACAAAGCTTTATATTCTCCAGAAAGGACTGCGGTGATTTGTGATTCTTGTCAAGCAAATTTTATTACCAAGCTGATCATATCTTCAAGAAGTTACACAAGTGTATCTGCTGGCTTTAATCTTCAGCGGAGGAGATATATTAACTGTGTTTTAGCCACTACTTTTCAATTCAATGCAGAGACCCTGAATTAAGTCGTACTTTTATGAAGCATAAAATGTTTAATTTATATGTGTCAGAAGGAGATAGCCTAGACTGCACTAGCGTATCAATGGGCAGTTTCTCTTATTCTCTCAACCTCTTATAATAAAATACTCAGACGACTTATTTGACTGGATGTTCTGATGTGTTCATGTTCAAAACTGTCTTTTGAGAATTTGTTGTTAAATGTAAAAGATTTTGAGATTCGCTACAGAAAAATTACCCTAAAACTGGTATAGAAAAACCATTGACTGTATAAAGAATATAGTATATAGGGGAGAGTGGGGTAAGATGAGCCATTAATCATATTTCGGATCACTACATCAAGGCAATCATAGTTTTGTCTCTAACTAGGGTATCCTCTCATCAGACTCATCAGGGTAGTCTATGAGAAAAACAGGGGAGAAAAATCACAACTGCATCCTTTCTATATTTTATCTTTAATTATTATTATTATTATTATTATTATAAAGAATTACAGCTCATGTTCAGCCGTAAAGTACCAAGTTTGAGGTATTATGGAGGTGATGTCACCACTTTTGCTGCAGACGCCTCATTCCTGCAAGTTTGAAGGCACTACACGTACAGAAAAATACCTGTCAAAATAAAAGCAGAAAAAGCATTCGTCTGAAAACTGGCATGAATAAGGTGCCCCAATAACAACATTCACCTAAGTTGGTGAAGTTTATACGTTTAACTGATTTTCTGTGACTTCAAATCTTCTTTAACGTTTAGTTTGTGGCACTACAAGAGTCACGCTTTGAAACGGATAATTTCGATGTTTTATTTTGAAGGTGATTTCCGGTGTGAATCTCTCTAACTTGACGGCCGCGGAGGAAGTGGTACTTGAAGCCGAGCTTACTGGAGCGAGTTGCTGCTCGCTGGTGCCAACGCCCGGCGGAAAACACGGCTAACGTAAACTAGCTGCGATACGAAGGTACTCTGGTACGTCGATTTTTATCAATTCTGACTTCTCTGGTTCGCGGATGAATAAATAACAGAACTTCTACTTTTGTTTTCGAAGCTAGAAGCGTAAGTTTACATCGTAGCGTTAGCCGGCCGGCTACTAAGCTAGCTGGCGAGACGGACGGCAGCGACTGGTGACTGCTAGCTCGGCTTACTTACCGTTACACAACAAATTCAGCTATATAGCTACAGTTACACTTACATTGTGTGTAGACAGTCTGGTAACGTGTTATCAAGTTATTCCCTTGTATATAAACGTTTAAGTTTGCTGTGTATTCAAGTATATACGCTTTTCAGTAGCCAAACGTTAGCCTACGTACAGTGTTGGTGATGGGGCGTGACTGTCAACTAGGTAACACAACGTAAAGATGCACATTATTTTGGTCGCCTTTCCTTATTAAAATCATTCTTCCACTTAGTTACCTGTTTGTACTTATATGTTGAATCAGTTTAAAGACATTTCTTGTTATATTTGTTGTATTTTGAACTCTCCAGCAGCCTGCGTTACTGTGATCGGGGTCTGAAAGCACAACGATGCAGACTATCAAATGTGTGGTGGTGGGTGATGGAGCCGTGGGTAAAACCTGCCTATTGATTTCCTACACCACCAACAAATTCCCCTCTGAATATGTTCCAACAGTAAGTTACTTCCGAGTCCAATTTTCGGTCAAGTCGTTAAATAAGACTCGCACAGGAAATCACATGTTATTCTTTGTTATTCTTTCTCTTATACAAGGTTTTCGACAACTATGCAGTAACTGTAATGATCGGTGGTGAACCATACACTCTTGGTTTATTTGATACAGCAGGTAAGATCCTCTCTTCATCTTTTTTTTTTTTAAATTTGATTTTGCATTCTTGTGATGGGTACTGCGGTTCTTTTAAATGTACTGAATCACTAGAATCAGTTCGCTAAAAGGATTCATTCAAAAGATTCGTTCACCAAATCACTGATTCATGTAGCGTTTGGCTGGAGAAGCCTGCAACTGATACTTAGCTGAACGGTTCAGGATTCAGTTTCCTGGACCAGAAGACAGGAGTGTTTGGCTGTGTTACCTTGCACACCGGGAATGACGCAAATATGCGACGCAAAATTACGAAATATTCAGAGGCTAATTTTGTTTGCGCCTGACTATACACATTAAGTGATGTGACTTTGCGACGTTCCGGGGGGAAAAGACGCATCCCGGGGAAGACTTTTCCAGGGGAAAGTCCCGCCTCCTTCGCCTCTGATTGGCTAGAAAAGCTGGAAACGTCATCACACGCTCAAGCCAAATGGTCAGCACTTGTAGCCAATCAGAGGCGAAGGAGGGCGGGACCTTCCCTTACCATCTTACAGCGAAAAAAAATATTGACGTCCAAAATAATCACATGAAAAAACAATCCCGGTGTGTAAGGACCCTTACTTTGGCAAACAGGTTTGTAAAAATGAACTTGTTTATGATTTATGATTTTTTTTAAGTGTACTGTCCTATGGTATGCTATTTATCAGGTCTGCTCGTAAATTGGGCTCAGTGAGTGATTCGACTGAACATGCACCGTTCCCTCGCAAACCACTGCAATGATAGGATGCTGCGGGTTTTATGTACTCCTTGTTACACGCTGTGTCCTATTGTATTTAAGTTTTTGTGGTGGCAGTTTAGCAGTTTAAAAAAAAAAAATAAAGGTAGTTTTGTCCAACAAAAATGATTCCAGAGAGTGTAGTTTAATTCGTGATCTATTCACCACAGGCGTCGGTGCATGCGGTCCCTCGTTCACCGGCTGCTCGACTGGCAATGCCGTTTCTCACTTCAGCTCAACTGAAATGAGAAACGAACTCAAGTGATTCGGTTCACTATGTTCACTTAAAAGATTTGGTTCTTTTGAATGAATCGTTTGCGAACGACAACACTATTGCACTCATGTTGTGAGAGTTTTATCTGTGATGTTGTTTCCTTCAGGGCAGGAAGATTATGACCGTCTACGACCACTAAGCTACCCACAGACAGATGTGTTTTTAGTCTGTTTCTCAGTTGTTTCACCTTCTTCGTTTGAGAACGTGAAAGAGAAGGTGAGTGCTACATGTGTTTCTTAGAACAACCGCAGATGTCATGTCCTAAACCGCCTTCATCGCATACTCATTTAAAAAACACTTAAACCTTTGAGATAAGGAGAGAGTTGTAAATTAATGAAGTTAGGAGCGTAACGGATACTTTTTGGAGTAATAAACTGAGTTGTCTTGATTCAATTCATTGTCCCGCTCTTCACTACCCTTGTCATATGACAGCTGAGGGGCAGTTTCCACAGGGAATGAATTAGGATCCTACAATTACATTGCAGTCATTGATCTCAGTAAAATTCAAATATGAGGGGTATTTCGGAAAGAAATGGAAATTAAACTAGAACAGTATGATCTTGTTTGACAAGTAAAAAAAAAACACCATTCATTGTTTTTGGAATATAATTCAGTCATGAATGCTGGTATTCAAAAATTAAGTATAGCCTGAGCATATCCTGAGGCATTCCAGTAATATCTGGCCCAACAGTGGACAATGATCCTCTTATAACACAGAGTCTCTAATGAGAAGAAGCTGCTGTTTTAGTGGCTGGAACAGTTAAATATTTTATATTTCATTGATTAAACCCCACAGCACAAGAAAAATGTATGATTAAATTAACAGGATTAAATTATAATGAACATCCATAACATGCATATATCTACATCTGGGTATTTATATAAGAAGGATTTTTATTTTTCAAGTTGATCCTTTCTTGACAAGTTTGGCATGATGAAACTTGTCCTCCAAAACCAATCCATCAGCAAGAAGAAAAACTAGATCCATTCAGTTGTTTCCATGGAGTCTTTGTTTACATTTTGTAAGCAAGGTTTCCGAGTGAGTAGAATATTGGCCATCTAAAAGAAAGCAGTGATACATTTCTCAAGAGAGCGCTTCACACTCATGTGCAGGACAAGGCCAGCAAAGATAAGCTGTACTGACTCAAGGGGAGTGGGAAATCAACTCAAAATGAAAATGAAAGCTTCACTTTAAAGTAAATCACCTTTTAACCCCTCCATAGAAAAGCCTGTTTTTGATTCCTTTTTTTCTTAATGAACAATAATCATTTTAGAACAGTTTCAATCTGTAATCTGATTTTCACCTCATTGAATTTTTTATCTGCAGTGTGTTTATTTGCCTTTTTTTCCCCCCGTCTCTAGTGGGTTCCTGAAATAACCCACCATTGTCCCAAGACCCCGTTCCTGCTGGTAGGCACTCAGATCGACCTGCGTGATGACCCTTCCACAGTGGAGAAGCTAGCCAAGAACAAACAGAAGCCAATAACCCCCGAGACAGCAGAGAAGCTCGCTCGTGACCTCAAGGCAGTCAAATACGTCGAGTGCTCAGCCCTAACGCAGGTAAGACCCTCGCCCCTGTTAGACTCGTGCTTGTGCAGCAAGTGTGTGCTTGAGTGTTCCCTAACAATAGTGGAAATACTTTGCCTTGCCTTTTTGCTAACAGCATTGAACTAAAATCTCCATCTAACCGTGTCGTGTGCCTGTCTTTCCCCCCTCTCTTCCTCTTTCTGTAGCGGGGACTGAAGAACGTATTTGATGAGGCTATCCTAGCCGCTTTAGAGCCCCCTGAAACTCAAAGAAAGAGAAAATGCTGTTTGTTCTGATGTCTTCTCGCATCTCGCTTTGCCTCTCGGTCATCTGCTGCTTAGTAACTGTAAAGAGATGTCTGTCACTATAATAACCACAGCACTCTTTAAACTCTAAAAACTTGGTGCCCATTAACTTTCTCCCCTTCTGTTCATGTGTGCTCTTTTTCAACTTGGCCTAATCACAGTTATCCATGCTGCCTGATATGACAAGAGTGCCAATCTTAATCTTTTTTTTTTCTGCTGCCAGGAGGTCTGTGTAACAGTACATGAATGAGTTTTTGTTTTTTTTACATTACAGTTCTGTTATTCTTGGTATGGAGCTCTAAGCATCAGTTGTATCCTATGAAGCATGTATGCTATATCCTGTCTTAGACAGTGATACTTATTTTCTACTGCAGCATCAAGATTTTCCATGGGCTTTTGTCTTAACTCAGACGAGTTAGCAATGAGGAGAGTCTTGTTAAATGTTATTAAATAAAAGAAAAATTTGATCTCTCTGCCCACTTTCTACACTGTATTTTTTCTGCATTTAGCTCCTTGAAGATGTCGATAGTATTTGGACCAGAGCCCTGATTTGAATATTGATATCTTATTTCCACAGAAAGGATTAAAGAATGTGTTTGATGAGGCAATACTGGCTGCCCTGGAGCCCCCTGAACCTAAGAAAAGGCGTAAATGTGTTCTGCTCTAAGTTTCACCCCAGCCGCCGTCCACACAAGTTTCCAAATCTAGGTTAGCAGTACTGGAGAGGTTTGCTGCACAAGCACATTCCAACGTGAATTAAGGTATCATGAAACATTTGCCTTCTGACTGAATTAACCTCAATGCATTTACAGTGTGTTGAAGATGAGTTGAAGATTTGAGTAACATTGGATGCTGTTTTGTATTGGTTTGACGCCACTTTAACGGCCTTACACGATGTAAACACTGATCATTAATGGATCACAAACTGTAGCTAATATATGAAATAACCAAGTTTACCACATGATGGTTAGAGATCTGTTTTAAAAAGTGCTCTTTCAAAGGAACTGTTTTTAAAATAGTGTGGGAATTAGAAGGATTATGGACTCAGACTGAAAACGATTGGAGCAGGATAATGAGGGTGCTCTTAGCAAGTTGATATCTTTTCAAGTATTCCCCCTAAAAGTTTGAGTTCCTGTGTGTTTAGCTTTGTCACACAAAACTGACTTTGGTTGTCATGTCAACATTAACAATCAGATACCCAGTAATATAAACTCTGCTGGAGTCAAAGGACGAAAACTTTTGATTTCTTTCTCAAGCCCTCATGTTTTATTCTCCTTATATGTTAAACGTTTTCCGACATCATGGCCTCCAGGCAGAACTAAAAAGTATCTGACAGATGACATTATTTCTGGGCCAAGCTCCATTGTATATATACAATAAATCTAATGAAACAGGAACCAACAAGTCGACACTTCTCAGAGTGGAGCTAACAGAGAAGTCTGAATTATATGGCTGTAAAATGAAAATGCTAACACCTTTATTCGACATCATGTGTCATAATACGCCATCATCATTGTGTGCGATATAATGCAAGGAGCTAAAGCACAACAATTCTTTACTGTTTTTGACCAAGTGAAAACAGTAAGAAGGTGTTCTGTCCTGAGCGCTTGTCAAAAGGAGCATCTTGGCCTCTAACCTCCAGCCTAATCCAGGTCTTTTGAAGTGAATAAACTGCAGCTCCAGTACATCAGATAGGAATAACATTATGCTACATTTGGATTGAGACCCTGTGAAGATGATTGATTGATTGATGGAACTGGCACTATTTGCTTTTTTTCTTTTACTCTACCCATGCCTCAATTGATGGCTTGAATTTGTAAATATGGAAGGAATAACTTCTAACTTATTGACTGAATACAGTGTGTGCAAAGCTGATACCAAGATTACGAGAAGCTGGGTTGACACTGAAATCCAACTAATCAGGAAAATGTTAGGAGTGTCTTGATTTTTATTCGATTTGACAACAAAAAATGTATCTTGCATCACAACAAACCAGTATTATGAATAAACCTAACATCAAATACTCATGTTGTTGTCTGACTTGATGATTTAAATCTATCAACTTTGATTTTCCACAGATATGCAGGAGAGATGTGAGTCAAAGAGACAGGAGGAGTACAAAAGAACATGTTTTATGCTGTTTGTTTCAACATCACAAAGTACAGATCAGTGCAAATAATACATCAGTCAAGGCTGTCAGACTGTGCTGCTGTAAAATAATACTAGAATCACAATAGCACTGTGGTTCCAGTATTATTTTAAGTGATAGCCTTGGATGTTGTCAGAGATGGCATCACATCATCTACTCCTACCTTCATTGAAATTCACGGGTTATCACCGTCACTTTTCAGCAACTGACTTCAAAGAAAACAAACATCTCAGTTGGACAGAATATCTCAAGAACCTGTTGTACCAAACGGCGGCTAAACGGCGACTTATCCGGTCCGTACATTTCAATGACCGTCCCTTCCTCAGGGGAAATAACTTGTTTTGTCTGATTTAAATGACGGGAAATGGAAACCAGCTGTCGTATGGCTTTTTTTTTTTTTTTAAAGGGACTGCACTTTACTAGCAGGGACTACAAGTGCTGTTTGGTACTGAAACAACTGACCTTAAAGCAAAGACAATTGTTTTTAGGCTCTTTTGAAAAACAACATTAAACTCGCATGCCTTTTCTTCATTAGTAGCAACATAACAGAGATGCTCAAATACCCTTTTTTCCTACTTAGGCCTATTCTGACTCTGAATCGTGCACTTTGTACAACAGTTTGGAAAGTGCTTTACAAATAAAGTCAATTTTAAATACAGTTTTAGTAAATACACTTTTGATACTACAACTAAAACTATAACAATTCATGGTTGAAATACACTTTTTGGACATTTTTCAAGCTTTCACAAACATTTCATCCCTCTAGAAACAAACAGTTCGTGTTTACATGGAGCTAGTTGGTTAGGATTAATCTGATTAATGCACTCACTGGTACAATCCTGTTACCTTGCGCTGTAGCTGAAGGCAGTGTCAGAGGCCAATGTAGACACTGGAATCAGGATTACTCTGAATCAGACATATTCAAGTGTTTCATTCATTGTATTTTGGTCCAAGCTTAACATAACTGAGCTTTAAATATCTGAATATACAAGAGCAACCAGTAAAAAGCTTCATCTTTTTGTCAGCATGATTGAAATTGTTCTAAATGATGCTATCTTTAGCCATGGCTCTTCAAATAGTTCTACACTACTCTTTACATGTCCTCTAACGCTGCATTGAGACTGACTATAAAACCAAAAATAGTCAACTTACGTACGAAAGAAAACAGTTTAAACAGATACAATGACTTGCAGATTATATAAGGCAAATTTAGTCTGTGCAATATTGCAATTTCAGGCAGAAGGCAGGAAACGGGTATTCAAAGAAAGAGTTACGTGTCCCCTGCTGGACAAATCTCCACGCTGCTGTCAGTGACACGGATCCCATACCACCCCGCCCAGAACTGTCTGTCTTTGCCTCCGTGGGTGAAGCGGATGAACCTCACTCCTGGTCCGTAATTCCTGAAGACGTGCGTCATCTAAAAACAAACAAATTTCATCCTGTAGGTTCATGTAGTCGCACCAGAAGAGTTGTAATCCTAACTTTGTTGTATGTAAAGCTCACAGCGACTGTAAAGGCATTCAGACTTTGTGGATTGTAAATACCTGACACCATTTCTGGTCATTCCACTGATCAAAGTAGACCGTTTCAGGTTCAAATGTTTGGATGGGTTTCTTTCTGTGGTTCAGCAACTGCACGCAGATCTGGTACTCGCTGCCACAATCCCATCGTGGTGCATACCTGTTGAAACACACATGAGCATGCACTGATGAGCAGTATGACGAGAATTGTGTTTGTGACCAGCTCAGTTTGACATGTTTTGGTTGAGATGATGCTGGGAGCTCTCCTCACCAATCGGATATCTTGATGTCAGGCTGGAAGTGATCCATGAATGACGGGTTGTAACCCTCCGCTCCCAGATCAATGAGCTGCGTCTTCCTGCAAAGTCTGTGAAAAACACAGAGGATGTCTGATCCTGTATTAAAGATTGTTACATGGAGCATTGAAAAGCTACTATTTGCTTTTTGAATACTCACCCGTAGGATGTCACAAAGTTTTTCAGGACGGCCTCGTTTGGATGTGGCGCCATGACTCCCTCTGCTTTCCATCTATCACCACCGTTGTCGGTTATATGCCAATGCCTCATTTGTTCTACAAAACAAAGATGATCGATGTGAAAGCACTTATTTCACAAATGATTTGACCCCTACGTCGTTGAGGAGGCTTCTTACCCTCGGCTCTTGGATTCAAGATAAGATTTCTCCTCTTCTTGCACAAAAAGTAAAACAACCTCCAGTCTTTGGGGATCTTGGACGCATCACGAATCCAGTAACCTTCTCTCCGACACCTCTCTTTCCATAGAGACTCGCTGTCTGCCACTGCTTTCCACTGATGGCACACCAGTCGACATATGCGAACCACCTGATGTGGAGGGAGATTCAGGAAGATCTCCTCCAGGATGTCCAGGGGAACTGAGAACTGAAAGAGGAAGGTAAAGACAGAGGTAAGCTCAACCTTTGATTCACTAGTTTAATTTGGAAAGCACTAACTTTTTGACTGAGCTCCCACTGCTTAGCCTTAACTGACCCACATTAAAAAATATAATAAGAAACTCCATTAAACACTTGTGTTCTGGGCTAGGAAGTGTATTCCCCTAAATTTGATTGTGGATAGAGTCCCATCCAAGGTTCAGTGGCAAAGAGTGACTCGAGAACGTTGCATTAGACTACCTGACGTGTAAACTACATAGCAAAGATGTGTTTCATAAAACATGGGAACCCTTTTATTATATGTTGGTTAAAATATCTTTACTATTCTCATGAGAGGGTTTGTATAATAGCTTTGAACATGCTGCCTCAAAAATGACGTCCTATTTAATTAATATTTTTGCCTCTGTGTACCTTTCTTTGAACAAATGACCGTTTTATATATGGCAATGAACACTTGATTTATTTTACTTTTACTTTAATGTATAACATGACTCCTGAATCTCTCGTTTGTATAAATGTGAACTTTAATAAACTTTAAAGTTAAACTTTAAAATTTTAACTTTAATACACACACACACACACATATACATACACAGACATACATATATATACACACACAGACATATACATATATATACACACAGACATACATATATATATATATATATATATACACACACACACACATATATATATACACATACACTCACAAATATATACACACATACATACACACACAGCTATATATATACACAAATACACAAACACACACACACATACATATATACACAAACACACGCACATATATACACACAAACACACACACATATATATATACACAAACGCACACACACATATATATATATACAAACACACTCACACATATGCATATATACACAAACACACACACACACACACACACACACACACACACACACACACACACACACACACACACACACACATAATGCTTAAAACTAAAAGTGGAACAAAACAGGGTTTTTTTCCATTCCGGTTACAGTCACCCTATAAGTCACCCACGCAGGTTTTGCTGACTAAATGTCACAGAAGTAGTTGACAAGTAGGAAGTAGTGCAGAAGCCTCAGCATGTTAAAACTTGCAACACATGTAATCTGAGCAGTCTAAAAACATGTCAGGCCTCATCAGTGGTAAACATCTATAAGGACCTGATCTAAATACTTACATCTTCTTGTGAAGGTGCTCCTGAAGCCCCACTTCCACGCTTCTGTTCTGGCTCAGAGCTGTAAGATACCCCCATAGCTTCAGGTTTCCTCTTCATTCCCGGGACAGACCCAGACTACAGGCTTTTTCCAGGCGATCAAGCCGGACACACCCAACTCCTTCACTTTCTCCTGGACACCTAAGCGAAGATGCACATGTGTTCAGCTGTTAATACGTCTAAAAAACACACAGATCGTGTTGATCATGTTGAAACAAAATACGGAAGTTCATCCGAGGTGCAGACAGATGTAGAAGTGAAAGAAGCTTTAACTAACCTCGTTGTGAGTTCCCTCAGATGTACCAGACGATAAATGACTTCTCTCAAATGACACTTTCGTGTTTTCTGCTTTGGCAAGAAGTCCACGAGTCACATTATTTCCAATCAAGACATAAGATCAGCCATCGTCTTTCCCGTCAAGACTGACAACAAGCCACATACGGGAATGTGGGCGGGATTAGTCGTCGAAGTATGGAAAGCCGAAGGGGCCAATATTCGACGATTATTTAACGCGTTTATATTCGCGTGGCCTGTTATCGATACTGTAGCAATTAATGTAAATTTTTCTTTGTTTTAGGACTACCTTTTTGCTCAGATTGGCAGTATGAGCCACATATTTACCCTAAAAAGATCACACTCCATTTTGGACAAATTATCCAGTCAAATTTTATAATTATTTGACCCAAAGTTGGCATGTTTGCGTATTTATCACATAAAGTAGACCATACTTAATCTTTTCAAAACATTCATTCACATTTTTAATTTACAATGCTGTTAAATAAAAGACCCGATTTTCTATAAGATGGAGCCAAAATCGAGGTCAAATTCCCCTATAATCTTGTCTACGTACCTTTACCATGACAACCACTGTCCCAAGTCCCCTGGTTTGACAAATGAATTGTACCTGTTGTTATTTTATAGATATGGATCTTCAAATTCATAGATCATCTAGTTTATTGATTGGTCATAGATAGGCCATATAAAACTCTTATAAAAGTTAATTTTTCTGGAGACAGACTGATATTATTGAGTAAAGGAGAAGGGGTAGGTTTAAAAAAAAGTGTAATGCTTTATCCTACTCGATAAAGATGTTAGGTTCGCATTAATATTATTAGTTTTTTTTAAAAACTTTTTTGCTTTGATTATTGTTTGATTGTTGTTTTGAACACTCTCTAGTTATGTTTGTTTTCAGTTTACTTCTGGTGTTGTACGCACATGTTCAAAGAATAATAAGAAATGAAATGAAAGTTGCAAGCACTCATCAGTTAAAAATGATTATCTACCATTAAATCAAAATGAGTGATAAACATGTAATTTAACCACTGCCCTTATAGATATTCATTTTTGTCCTTTCTACCATAAATTAAAGATCCATTTAACCTACTCCAACAGCTGGTTCCTGGTGGAAATCATTATTAAAGAAGCAAAACTTAGTGGGTTTAATCTCACAATGAAACAACAACTTTGTGAGAGCTAAAAATGTTTAGGCAACATGAGAGAGACTGACTTTAATAATGTGGCAAAATAAACAGAGGTGCATTCATATCTTCAATCACATAGGCACTGCAGTTTGTGTACAATACAGTACATAGAACTTGATTATAAATTACGAGCCATACCAAAAATAAATCGATACTGAAGAGGCAAGACGACTCGGGGAATAAGATGAAACCATTGACAATGGTGTCACATTATAAGTTCGAGCAGGTCACGGCCCTGTCCTTAGATACTGAAGTACGACTAATGCAGTCTGAGATGTTTTTACCCTGCTCTGCATTTTTAAATGAATACAAAGACAAAAGTTAAATGCACATTTTTTCTGAGTAACAACAAACTTCAATCCACGTCGTATCTAAAACAGGTTTTTCCCTCTTGCGTCACACAGTTGAGAGATGAGTCTTTTTGGTCAGCGAGGAGTCCCTTATGTGTCGGCGTCAATCCTGTGAGCTGCAAATGAAAACAAGAATAAAGACTCAGAAGGAAAACATACAGAGACGCTGACTTATAGATTAAGTATCTTAAGATATGTTGCATCAAACACATCTACAAAGGCTTAGGGTTTAAGTAAATCCCCCCTGCTGTCAGTAAGATCAGAAAGAGTGCCAGGTTAGGCAGTTCAAAAAAGTTTATGATCCACCAAAACCTGGGCTTAAGAGGCTAAACGTTAAGCCAACGTCTTGAAATTCCCAAATTCCCCCTAAATTCGAAGGTGGCTGTGCTGTACGCTACAAGAGACTTACATTGCTTTGGTATCCTGAGTGGTTCTGTGTCTCCTGACAGGACTTGATGCATGACTCCGCGGAACTGATACAGCACCTTTAAGCTCTTCTCCTCCCCCACGCAGGGGTCGTAGAAACCGGGGAGTCCTGACTGGAAAGACAGCAGAAGGTCACGCAGATGAGTCATCGTGCGCTAAGCTGAGGGAGTTACCGAGCAGGATGATGAGGCCTGATCTGAGGTTTGTGCTGAGATCTGTTGTTTTTCTCACCATCTCAAACTTCATAAAACAAGCTGCCACGTCAGATATTTGCAGAACTTTCTTTACGTTCATTATTAACTTGTATCCACCCTGAAAGACCCATTTAACTCCTGCTTTGTGATGGATTTAAGATAAATCCTCTGTATTAGATGAATCAATCATTTTAGATATCAATACTCACCTTTGTGGCCTCAGTGAGGATGAGTTTAGAGTCTTTCACTAGACACTGCAGTGGCACAGTCACGTCGATGACCTTTGCCCTCTCGTGTTTCCGGCTGTTGTCTGTGACAAACTTGCCGTACCAGGCGTTGAGGATGATGAGACCTGGTTAGAGAAGCAAAGTCAGCGTAAATGTGTCTCGAAAAGCCAGGCCAAGTCATCAAACTGTCCCCGTCAGGAGTGGATTTAGACCAAATTTAAAGACGGCGGCCAAAACAGAAACAGATTTTCAGATGATTTGATATTAAAAAGTCCAAAACAAATCCCAACTTCCAACGCAGAGTCATTTGAATTTTGTATGCCAGCAGTTTTGGCCGCACATCTCCGAACAGAGCCAGGATAATTACCAGTTTTTGAGACTTGTTTGTGAAAATATTTTTGCAAGTACACAGCGACAAGACGGCACAATTAGTTTTAATTGAAAGCTGCATAAACAAAACCATTTGCATGACCATTTTATGGAGTGTGGCTCTCGGAATAAAAGACAGCAGCTGTGTGTCTGTCATTACGCACACGGATATGCTGCTATTAACTGTTACTTTACAAGTGCAAAGTCGAGGGGACCTCTGATGATACTAAAAATCAGAGCAGCCTCTATAGTGACAGGTGTCATAAGCCAATTATCACTTGAAAAACTTCCCCGTGTGAAAATTATACTGTCTGCTGAGAGCCTTTTGTTAGTGCACTCATCAGAAGCAGACTAAAAAGCGCCAATTATCACTAGTCGAAACAGAGGCTGGAGAGTTATTAAAAAATCCACTGAACTGCACTTCCCCTTTCAATTTTAGCCCTATTTTTAATAAAAGCTGCCCATATCTCCACAAAATCACTCAAGATAATATCAGTGTCTGCAAAGGATGTCTCCTAATACAGGCCCAGAAAATGACTCGAATCATGAATCCCGCTTTTATTTTGGGTATTATGTTGTGCGGAATAGTAATTCATAGACAGCAGAGGATTTGACAGCAGTTTTATCTGCTCTGCAAGTTCACTACTTTTGTTCCGTATTGTGAGAACGGCCATCAGCGTCGTCGTAAAACAGAAACAGGACGAATTTAAAATCTCACAACCTGCTTTCAAAAACGTTTTTACACTCATCTTACCCATTCTGGACTCCTCGGCTTCGATGATCCTGCGCACAGACTCCTGCATGAGCAAGACCTTTAGGGAGGGAAAGAGACAAACATAAGAAAGGGACAGATAGACGGAAACAAACAACAAGCTTATTTCTCTCTGGGAGGATTACTCCAATGTATTCCAATAAGACTTTGCAACCTGTCTAATCCCATCTCATTCTATTCACCTGACTGTCGTGGGACTGGTAATACATCTCCACAGTCACCTCTGATACCTGCATCTGCTATCTTACATTGAACCACAACTTAAAATTGGCACCACAGGTACATGTAAGCCAGTAAAACACTCACAGCAGCCTCTGCCTCCTGTTTCTTCTTGGCTATATTAGAGGCTGAGCTCTCTCGCTGCTTCTCCAAGTCCCTGTTGAGTTGGAAGATAAATGGAGATATAAAATGAGCTCATAAAAATCCAGCCATAATAATACGTGCTGTGCTACTTCCAATAACATTTCTTGCATGGTACAACTGAGTTAAAGTGGAGGTTTCTTACTGCTCCTTCTGCGCCCGCACGTAGGGCCGGATAATAAGCTGCTGGATGGCGAGGTAGAAAACCAGTGGTCCGACTGTGGCGTAGAAAACAGCGCTGGGTAGAAGCTGGTCGGTCAGGTGAATGGGAAAGAAATACGTCTGACTGGCTCTGTTCAGTCTGGAGATAGAGAGTTGGGTTCATTATTGACTGGCTGCTAATGAAGAGTGTGGGGAGTTCGTTTTTCAGGTTTTGAGTGGGAGAGAGAGGGGAGTGAAGAGCTGTCTGTTTGAGGCGTAACCTCTGTGAGCTTATGCTGCCCAGTTTCTTTCAATATACAGTAAACAGGTAAGTCTATGACTGTGTCTCCATCCTAAAAGCAGCCCCCCCAACACCCCTAAGTGTACAGAACTTGTATTAAACATTTTTGTCAATCTTACAGGATGTCAGACCTTGATTCCTCTGGGAGCCCATGTAAGGAAAACCCTCTTGAACCTCCAACAAGGAAAGAAAAAGAAAAGCTGGAGCAATGAATTCCACTCACTTGATCTTGAGGGAGACACCTTGGGGTACTCCCACGCTGACGGTGGCTCCCAGGACGCTGTGTCGACTGATCTTCCTCTCAGCGCCGTACTCCACCACAGTCCCAAAGAAACCTGATCTGTGGCAGAAAAGAGAGAGAGAGTCGATACACCTCTGTACCTGCAGACAAAGTTTACTTGAATTTGATCTGTCAGTTACGACGTCCCGTAAAAAGGGAGCGGGAATAAATCAATCCAACTTCTGAGCAGCAGCAGGAGCTTTAAAACACGTTTATGATTATATCCTACAAATACGACGTATTTCATTTTGACAGCGTACTTTACTGAGCCCTTTATCTTCGTCTGGTCGTCATCCTGGAACTTGTACTGGTAGCTCATCATTAGAAAAGTGTGAGGAATGCCAAGCTGCAGGAAAAATAAAGAGCGTTTTGGCACAGCTCTGACAAGGCACGGTTGATTTAACAGTACAAGATTTAAAAATAACTCCCGGCTGCTGACCTGCATTGCAAAGGTGAAATGGCTGCTCTTGGTGTCTCTGACTATGCTGGTGTTCATGGAGGACTGGACTCCCCATCGCCACTGGAGGTAGCCCATAGTGTTCTTGTCTAAGTGACGGGCCAGCACTGTGGTAAACCCCGGGCGTATGCCTCTGGATGAAAACTGGAGCCCACACTGAGCTGTAACAAAACTGGAAGGGAAAAAAAAGGAGATGAATATCACAGATTCGTTCAAACCGCTGTGGAAAATAAAGCGCTGGTGGATTTTCTTTTGCATTTCAACACGTACAATCGTGGCGTCAGGTTTCGGAATATCTTCATTCCAAAGAGAGGTCCGTGAGTGTCTCCAGCGCCGAGCTCAATCTGTGGAAACACCAAGGACGGATGACGGTTTTCACTGCATGTTTTAGCAAAGGCAGGGTGAGAAAATGCAGCTTCTTAAGCGTGTTGATGAATGTAAAGAACACAGCATACCTCTCCCCACCCCTTTGCTGAGGTGACTCTTCTCAAGGACAGGTTGATCGTGCCTCCTCCGTTTCCATTGTGGGTTGACAGAGAGCCAGACAATATGGCTGTGTCTCTTGTAGTAAGAGGAGCCTGCAGTCGAATGCATCAAATGAAACTTTCTTCAAGAATAAGCTTCGAATTTTCTCGATTTAACTATTATATATCAACCTAAACCAAATGCATGGACATTTTGGTGCAACTTCTTACCTCTATAGATTGTGATATATGCATCTTGTTGATTTCCACATGTGGGACTCCCCCGCCCACCACTTCCTCAAAGTCCTCTTCATATCTATCAAAGAGGTCTGTGGCATCTATTCCCACACTTATCGTTCCCTGAAAACAACAGATTTGTGATTTAAACCTCTGCTCATTAAAGAACATACACGTCGGACACCTTCATTTTACAGTTTCTCTAAACTCTGTTTCATATACGGCTTGTTTTCCTTCCCAGAAAACACACCTTTGGATTGGTCCTCTGCTGAAGCCTTCTCTCCTCTCGCTCTTTCTGGAGACGCTCGTACTCCTCTCGGATCTCCGCAGGAGTTCTTTTTCTTTCCACCACCTGCAAGGAAGAAGATATGGTTTGAATGTAAAGCACAAAGACAGCTGGCTACTTCACAGGCAGCAGATGCAGAGTTACAGCAGAAAAAGTTGCACAAGGAATTTCACGCTCGCCTATTTTCTTCCTGTGAAAATAGTTCTTTGGACTGTGAAGCATCTATGTTTTTTTTAAAAACAACAGCTGGAGCAGAACTAAAACCGGTGTCACTTTAGGTGTGGACAGATGCTTAGACGTACAATACTGATGGACTCACCTCCCATCCTTCCACGTCAAGTCCTCGCTTTCCATAGATATCATAGATAGCTCGTGCCTGGGGGTCACTGAGCACTACAAAAAACAAACAACACGAATCATCGTCAGAATCATTTATGTTCTATAAAATGTACATTACTCAATTCAACACCAGCACTGACTGAGGTGACGACACAATTTTACCTTCATAAGCTTCATGTACGAGGTTGAAAAGTTGCTCCGCTTGGCGTTTCAGTTCAGGGTCCCTGTGTTTGTCCGGGTGATACAGCATACACAACCGCCTGTACGCCGCCTTCAGCTCATCTTGCGTCGCCTGTGTCCCAGCATTGAAGAGAAGTAAAGGTCAAAGAGCGAATCAACAACAACAACAAAACTCGAATAGATGTAGGCACAGCTTAACGGCAGCTCTACCCCTATAATTAGTTGATCCTCTTTTAACCGAACAACAACGGCAGATTTGCCTGATCATAATCGCTTTGGTTGGTTCTGACAACTGCAGACCATGGAGGAACACCCCACGAAAATGAGCTCTGGAGGTCCTGCTTCCAACAAATTAACTCCAAGGACAAAATATTCATTTGTTTGCATATCCCACCATCTTACGAGTGACATTGTGAAAAGGAAATCTTGCCATCTACCTCTTAAGTTGGTGGTCATATTGTTACAGCTGATCCAAGACAGTATGAAAGTGGAGTTAGTCTCTCATTCGCAGCTTTTGATTTGTCAAGGAAATAAGGTCCTGCTTCAAAGACACAATGCTTAACTTATTACATCTGTCTTATATTGTTAAAAAGAGGCTACAGTCTTTAAAATCTAGTGTTAAGTTTATAAAAGCTTAATTCTATTTGTGAAAATGGAAAAATTGTGATTTCACTCTTTTTTAAAATATAAAAATGAGACAAAACAATTAAAATATAGGCTTTACAAATCTTAAACTGTGTTTTTAAAAGCCTGTCTGTCTTCTGGATAATGTAGTCCAGATGTGACAAGTCTAGTTGATGTGCAATATCATCAGGACCTGGTTTCTACAACCAAGGCTGCAAAAAGTTGAAAATGAAACATATGTAGTGTCTCTTGAGAACAGTATGTCCTCTGTTAAATGTTTATGCATTCTTTTAAACTTTTATCTTTATTCAACGCTGTCGATTAACCGAATAAAAAGGAGAAGATCGGAGTCTTCTCCCCAAACAACCATGTACTCTAAAAGTTTCATGATGCAACACTTAAGTAGGGTTTTAGCATTAGCTACCTAGCAACTCTGCAGACTTCACTCAGTAAAAATGAAACTAAAACTAAGTGTCAAAGTGGTAACAGGTGACCGCGACTACTCGAACCTCTGCATTTTACTCGATTAATCGAAGACGTCTGAGTGCAAACTCGTAACTTGACAACCTGTAGCCCGTCCCGAAAGTATCCAACCCAAAAAGTCACGGCTCAGAAATCAATGTCGAGGGTCATAAGCTAGCCACCTAAGCTAACGATGCATGTGATTGATCAAATAACCGTTAACGATCACTCGAACAACGGTCGAACGATGACTCCTGAGCACATCCGTACAAAACTCGACCCCGATCAAAGCTGCATGCTGTACCTCTCTTCTGACATTCAGCAGGGAGTAATAATCATCATTTAGGATCTCATCATCGTCCAAGGAAGACGCCATGTTTACACCCGGTCATGTCTTCTTCGTGTCATTTACGTCGCTCTTGCGTCTTCGCGCACTCCGCCGCCCTCTCGTGGTCGGGAAGAACGACTTTAAAACGGCTGTACTCATAGACTTGTTAATGAGAGGTTTTATTTTGCTGTTAATTTTGACTCTAAAGTTAATAGCTCTTAGTTATTCTTAAAATATTATGACAAAAAGTGGAAAGTATGGATGGTACAGTTATTTGATTTGTTTTTTAGTTGTTTCAGTGCTTGAAACGATTGTTTATTATGAATTATGTTTAAAAAATAAGCGTAAATTTATGTTTTTTTACAAAACAATCCTGAAAAAAGCAATTTATTAATTTAATTTCATGTCAGATAGTTTAATTTCAAGATGCAGTAAGAGAAACTTCAAAGTCAGCTCATTTGTGACTCATTTCAAGGGGATATTATGCATCTTTCTTCTATACTGATACAAAAAGAACAATTAGTTAGGAGATCACATAGCTACATCATGCCTTTTTGCAGTTTTAACCATTCCTATGCATGCCTTTCGGTGTCTGTACAAAGCGCACAAGCTTCATCTGCAGCTGAGGAGCTGTCCTTTCAGCACCACCACCTCACTCCATTTCAGCACTGTGGGCCACCAGCCTGATAATATAAGCTGAAGGCTGCATTTAAGTGCTGTACTTGACGCGGGAGCCAAAAGCAAAGTCTATTAAGCACAATGATCTCTAATTAGATTGCCTGTAGTCATTTAGCGTAGTAGCCATGCTATTGTCAAGCCCATGAAGCTGAATTCGCAAACAATGACAGCAGAGTGGATTGAATCTTAGAGAAACCTTACTAGTGGTGGTGGTCTTTGAATCACTGATTCAGACCCCGGTGCTGTTTATATGGACTCCACCATCCTCCGCCAGCCGCATCATAATGCCACCATGTGAAATCAGTTAGACGTGTCTATAACAAACATGTCGAGCAGTTTTCAAATGCAAACTGACAGCCGGACACTTGATTGATCGACTGTGCATGGTGTCACTTAAGGGTTGATACTTTTTCAGTGTTTGTTTTATTTTGTTGTTTTTAAAAAGCTACAAGACTCTCTGAAAATACAGCTTACATTACGTGCATCATAACTTAAATTGAACAAGAGACGACATGCAAAATAAACTGACAAGAGACCATGGTTTTTATTGCTGGAGAGAGTATGGAAAGACCTGCCTTAAATTTTGCTCACTATATTAACAAACAAGAGGGGAGCATGCTCAAGGTGTGTCTTTTGGCATAATAATATCATCCTGGATGTCATGAGAAGGCATCAACATGAGTTTTAGTCTATTTCAGTGAGAGAAAGAGAAGTAAGATGTTATAGAGAGCGTGCATTACCTGACAGACCATGTCAACAAAAACTGTCATTGTAGGAACTTCTTAAAAGTAGAATGAATGAATGATTTTATTTCGGTATATCATGACTGCAAGGGTGTATGCAGAAGCAATGCTTATAAAGGTCTACCCCTTACACCATTCATGGAGTACATTATACACGTAGACTTTCTTTATACAAATATCACACACAAGCGCACACAAAGTGAGAATTTAAGATATATTGTTAAGGAGACGTGGCATGACACTGAGATATTACATGAGGACAGAACTACCTCTGGGAAACACTGGAGATAAAAATAAAAGTGGTAAAAAGAAAGAGTAAAACCTGAAGGACTAAAACAAGAAAATCATATTAAATGAAGAGATAAGTAAGAGCTCTTTACCATATTAAAGGGGTAAAAGGAGTAAAAACCTCTAAGATGGGAATAAAGAACAATAACTAATGAAGTGACATAAGAGAAACATTAAGAACTTTGATTAAAATGAACATTTGCAATAAGAGAAATATAAAGAAGCAGTCAATGAAAATCCTGGTTAAAAAGGTGAGTCTTAAAAACATCAAAAGTCTCTGCACAGCAACTTTACCTTTAATAGTAAAGTTGTTGTTGCTTATGTGTTCGTACTGTTTTGCCTAGTTCATCATCTTTAACCCACAAGGCTTTGCAGAAAAGTCTCATGTTTAAGCTTTGTCATTTAAAAAGTAATAATAAAGATAACTTTATTTTTAAAGCACTTTTAAAAACAGAAGTTTACAAAGTGCTTTGATATGTAGTCATAGAGTCATGAAAACTAAAAGCTCAGTTAAAACAGAATTGAAGGTCATTCTCATGTCCTGGACAATACAAGAACTATGCAACATAAAATGGGACCATGAAGACCAAAATAAAAACATAAAATATTTAATGCTTACAAAGACCTACCCTTTATACCATACATGGAGTACATTATACAGATACACTCTCTTTACACAAATATCAACACTTCAATATATATTCACTCTTCAAATCAGAGTAATGAACATTCTTTACACTTTACATTAATAATCAAATCAACATTATTCTTGTAAAGTCACTTACCAGAGTACTACATTTTCTAATTTTGACTGGACAGTCTTTCCATATTTTAATGGTTAAGTTGTTGTGTTGCTTAGGTGTTCCTACTGTTTCGTAGAGTCTCATGTTTAAGCATTGTCAATTAAAAAGTAAACCTCAATCTGCTTCATTCTGTAGCATAACAATAAAGGTATTAAAGTAGGCAATACCAAATGTGAAGGTACAAACATAATGACTCTGTTTAAGGAACTCTGAGGAGAGTATGCATTTCATTCCTCCAGTCTAATCATGGCTCTAATTTATCTCTTTTTTTAATATAATAATGCATCACTACATTAAAAAGAGGCGTCATGCCAGAGCTGCAGCGCCTCTGAGCTCTTTTAAAAATTCAGCGTGAAAAAAAAGGAAAAAGAGAGAGAAAAAAAAACACGGCTGGTGGTGTCAAGGTGAGGGGAGATGTGTTTTTCATCCCGGAGCCTCTCTGTCACTCACCGCCTCACAGCCAATGGTAAGTTCGCCTCCGCCGGACCGACTCGCCGCTTGCTCCTCCAGTCCCTCCTCGTGCTGTCCTCGCCGTGCACGCGCGTGGTACCCACGGTCGTGAGGAGGAGGAGGATGTTGCGCGTGAAGGGGAAATGGCTGCCGAAAACAAGCCGGAAGGTAAGAGAAATATAATGGGATTAATTTGACTAGTATGACCGCCGTGTGCTTTCGGAACAGTTGTAACTCCGTGCGGAGACGGCACGGGCGCGAGGACGAGCGGAGGAGATTTGTCGGTGTAGAGAAACGGGCTCCGCTGTTTTTCCCTTTTCGATAGGGCTGCTAAAACGTGGAGACATCACCTAGCCAGCTAATATTAGCTTGCATTCTAGCCAGAGCTACTATTCCCATCGTAGCCCACATTTAAAGCACGCCACGGGGACAAACAGTCAGCGTGGGTAAAGTGACGCGTTTTGCGCTTATTTTTGCTCCGGATTCTCGTCAGACGCAACGCCATTCAAGTTGTTAACAACACGGCTAAGTTAATGACAACATGTCATTGGCATCGACTAACTTCTTCCCTTATTACCCAGCTTTAAAAAGCGGCGTGGTTCTCATAGTTTATCTCTCAATACGCCTCCCCTCTTCAAGCGCTATTCTCAGCTTGTTTTGAGCACATTCTGGCGTAATTCAGACATCTCTTTCTGGATTTAATCCTCTAGTTTCTCTTATTTCTCATCTTGGAGATGGTCGGTCAGTCCCCTCATCACCACCTCCCCCCCTTGAAGCGCGAGGTTTTCTCTCAGCATTCAGCGTGTAGTGTTTGCGACTCAGAAGTGATGTAATACTCTCCCAAAATGAGCGGATATTATTATGTTTTTTCCAATTATACCTCCTGGCCTATATTTGGTTGTGAGACAAACACGGACATGAAAACGTTGTAGTGGCCGCTGCTCCGTTTGCAGTGCCCTATCGCACTTGAAATGAAATGCCATCACAGCAGAGGAAACAGGGAGGATGGAGAGTAGGATTTCAAGCAAACACCCCCCTCTTTTCACAGTACACTACTTTACACGTTATAGGGACCAGTAATGACTTTTTCACTCACTCTAAATGAACCGCATTGACTTATTTCCTCTTTAAGTGGGATTTCTTTTGCATTAGAGATCTTTTCTCATCCTGATATGCCCATGGATTTTTTGGGTGAGTAATTAAACTATGCATTTATTAATATGGAGTTTGAAAGGGACTACTTTTTCTACGCCTATAGCTGCTTTTTAATGACAGGATGAGTTTTGTATTTACAATGTGTTCTTAGGTTTCTCAAAACATAAGGCAACTATCTGTTTAAGTTATATACTTTTAAATGTTTTCCTATAGGTTTTGAATGAGCTGACCTATTCATAATAATCATAATATTGACATGCTTTTACCCTTTAATTTATTGTATATTTGTTGGGAGAAAAGGGGTTCTTCTAATTTGAGAAATAGATGCACAAAACAGCCAAAAGGTCCAGCTGTTTTTGAGACATATTTTTGCAAACAGAGTCAGAGTGTGTTGTTGTTTATATCCTCATTTCCTCTCGCTTTAAAGCTTCAAATGAGTGTAAACAAATGACTTGTGTCCATGTGAGGGGGTAACGATAGAAGACTTGAGTTGTTTGGATGTCAGTGTGCCAACCATCAAACAGAGTCCCACCAGGGGGTGCTATTGAGCCACAGAATCTCACTCCCCCCTATATGAAGGATGTGTCTGTAGATATGACAGAAAAAAAAAGAAGAAGAAGACATCTGGTTGTATGATAGTAATGACTTCACTGTGGTGTAAAGTCCTAATGCATCCATCTACATAGCCGGACCCGGCCGGAACGGGATGGAGGTGTAAATGTGGATGTCGCTCTAACAAGAGGGAGATCTGAGTGAAAAACCCTGACTTGGAACTCCCATTGCTGAGCAGGTTAAGTTATTTTCAGTGTTCCTGTGAGGCCGGTCAGTGGAAAAAGGAGGAGGAGGAGCAAAGGGACCATAGAAAGAGAGAGAGAGAGAGAGAGAGTGAGGGAGAGGAAGAGGGCTTCATACTTTCAGATAAATGTGGTGTCGTCTTGTGCAAACCTGGCCTTTAAAGCTTTTTATT